AAAAAAAAAAAAACAGTATGCATTTGGCCACGAGTTCAGCATGCAATCAATACAATTGAAGTTTTTATTTTAGAGATTTTCCTTTACTACCTTGGGCACAACGACAGATGTGAGCAGAATCTTACTGAGAAGCAGACCGCAATAAAATAAGGTATTTTGGACTGGCATCTCTGCGACTGAGGAGGCCGTGTGCTGTGTGACTAATCTCACCTGATTGAGTTATATCTGTCATATTCATTTGATCATTACCAACTTGCAAACTGTATCCATATTGGTCCTTTTCTAGTTTTAACGTACCTGTATGTTTTCTATGTTTATAAACCTTAATAAAAACAGATTCAACCATATAGTCATTTATTTTCACATCCTGTCCCCGAACAAACAGGAAAGGAGACATTTTAGCTAGAACAGGGCTTTAAGAACCAATAAAGCTGTCTACACATGACGTAGAGTGGCTCAATCCGCCCATCCACAGGTGACGTAAAACCATATGATCTGGCAAGAATCAGTGATAAGAGGGCTGCAATATAGCTTTAGATCAAATTATTTGCTTGATGTTATAAAGGTGGATGTAGAAGAACAGGGCTGAACAAATACCAGGAGCTGGGTAGTCAATGCTCCTGAAAAATTACAGCTGGCACCGAACTTTTTACATTTCTTTAGTAGTTGACAATGGAGTTGGTTAATTAAAAAAAAAAAAAATCCTGCCGCCTCCTGGATTGGATTGACCGGTTCCTGAACTCCATTCCTAAATTAGAGGCTGTGAAAAGACATCAACAGAACGTATAGGACAATGCACTATCAATTTGTGATCCCACTATGGCCATCTTTACAATCAGCCCAACAAGGGGCCTACCTGCTGGAAGCATTAGTGTGAAAACCATTTGGGGCAGGAATCAATTCAAGGGGGAACCAGATAAATGGGGTAAAAAAATATTATATGAAACACCTTCTTTCCTAAAAAAGGACTGGTCCAAATCATAAAGTTAATGATAATTTAGAGAGTATGTAAAAATAGCAACAAATAACAGACTGAGGGGGAAATAAAACAAAAAAAAGGTAAAATAAAATGTCTCTGAGCCAATGTGGGTAGTATGAAAAATTCAAGGCAGCAGCAGGTCATTGTATTGGCTCCCTCACACCTTCTGATGCTTATCTGCAATGGCCAGAATTCCTGCAATCAGACCTTCTAATAATCACTATACAAGTCAAAGGGCAGTTTGCTTTGTACCTCACTCCTATCAACCAACAACTGCCTGCTGCATCTGAACCACAACACCCGGTTAGAAAGTAGTGTTTGAACGAATTTTCAGCCGATATAAACATGATTTTACTTACCCTTTTCTCAAAGATTAACATTAAACTAATAAAAAGTTAGTACATATCCTAAATATCAATGTTAACCGTATGGAATGCTTTAATCTTCAAAAAAAAACAAACGTACATAAAGGGCCAGATAAAAGGTCCATGGAACAAAAGAGCTTTAAAACTTCCCTCCCCAATGGCCCGTGTCCTCTTCAGCATTTGATACATCTGAAAGTATTTGATTCGTATGTCCCTTGTTGAATTTTGGCGTTCCTTCGTCCTACCCCTATGTCATCAAAGGACACAGTGGTGAACCAAAGCGCAAAGCATGAGAGATCGCAATTTAACACTCAATAGCGTTGGATGGCAAAGAGTCTTACAGAAGGGAGTTAGGACACAGGCCACTGGAGAATGGAATATAAAAACTCTTCAACTCCAAGTACCTTTCATTTGGCTTTTTCTTTTTTAACCTGACAGGGTTGCTCCAAGTGTTTTTGGTTTAAAAAGTTACTAAGATTTTGAAAAGGTATAGCATTATTCAGCTATGTTTTAAATTGTCATTAAACTTTTTATTGAAAAATACTTTCCAATATACTATACTAAAGTAAAACTGAGAATGATTGAAACAGCAGGGCTGCATAGAAGAAATACTGCCCCATTCCAATTACCGGTTGGGGAGTTCCGGCCCTTCTAAGGCAGAAGATTCTGGGCCTCCCGCCCTCCCCTGTAAAGGTCGACCCACACGACATACGGCTGGGGAGAATCTAAAGTTACCGACCGGGAGGCCTCTTTACGACCTGAAGAAGAAGTCCCAGGGGCCTGTGTATGTGGGGCCCTTTTGCTGCCAGTTGCTGCAGAAGAAGTTTGGGTTGCATGACCAGCTGCCGACTCATCTTCACTGCCCCCAAAGCTGGTTATGAAAGTGATGGCTTCCGCTCGTCCTGGGCTTGGTGTATGAGTACGTGAACCGGAGGAAGACTCTGACTGGGACCTGAGGAAACAAAGAAAAATGTTTAAACACAAAATCAACCCCAACTGGGCAAAATAATGTATATGATATGTAGATAGCCCTGTTTACCTTCTATAAGGATCGTATGTTGGACTGTCTCGCCGAGCGTAACTGTGTAAGGTAATAAATAGAAGATCATTTTAAACACAAAGCTGGTATTTTTATACCAAGCAGCAATGCTATGAAAGAATATAATACAAAGAACGCTCCCCAAAACAAAACTGTTTAGATAGCCTGTTGAGTGCCAACACTCCCACTTAAGTTTGCAGATCTAGGAAGTTCCTTCAGCATTTTTCTCTTCCCAAGGCTTCTATATCCCCGAGTCTTGTAAGATTCAACAAAAATAAAAAGGAGGTAGAGCAGCAGGAGCAATGTGGGGAGGAGAATGCTGGAGAAACTACTGCCCATCCAAAGTGAAGAGTTCTTGGTACATTCTAAGTTACATAGTATTTGTAAGTTGTATTCCACTTATTTCAGGTTTTCTATCCCCTATTGCTGTAGTGCACTCCACTCCCATTTGTCAGGAATCTATTGCTCTGGAAACCCTATTTGCAATACACTTCCACTGTAGACTTTGGGTTTTTACATACATTGATGTATCAAAACATACTACTATGTCACGTATCAGTGGAGCCGCCACCAACTTGCCTACAAAAAAGTTAATTCTGATTGGCAATGCATGAAGAGGAAAAGTTACACAGCTTCCTGGATAGCATTAGCAACTCAATTACAGATACCACCTATACAGAACTGCCCTTAAAAGGATAACTATACTGTAAGAGAATAACTTCTTAGCTTACTACCCTGGAGTTAAAAGAAACCTCCCTTGCCCAGCTATAAATGTATGCTTACTTGAATTAGACAGCTGTGGCCAGCAAGAATTCTCAGATCATCCAAACAGAATGCTTTACCTGCCCGTAAAGTTGAATCAGAAGACTGCCCCATAGAAGTCTATAAGGATCAAATGCACAAGTGTGGCCAAGGGAAAGAACATTTTGTGTACAGGTTTTGAGGACTCCCTTACACATGAAAGAGTTACCTGAAAGTGTATGTATAGCTAAAACTATTTCTTCGTTTGGATAGAGTAGGGAATAGTTAAAACGTATTATTTTGCGGTGTCCTCTTGGAAATGTTTCCTTTACCTTCTATCACAGAGACACAAGTAGTAAGAGAACTCAATACAGAGTTGGGGAGGAATTACCCTCTTAGCCATCATTAAATGGGTGTGCCAATGTCAGATGTCCCCTTTATTTCTTGTTTTGGTGGAGAGAAGGCACTGCAAAAGACCTGCAGCAACACTTGGTGACATTGATGGATTCATTGAAGTATCAGGAGATCCTAGGAGAAAATGTCATGCCATCTGTAAGGAAGCTAAAGCTTAGGTGTCATTGGACCTTCCAATAGGACAATTATCCCAAGCATACCTTAAATTACATCAAGGCTTGGCTGCAGAATAAGTCCTCGAAGATTCTGCAGTGGCCACCAGTCACCCGACTTAAACCCCATAGAAAATATCTGGTGGTATTGGACGGCGGCGGTTGCAGCATGCAGATCCAAGAATATTAGTGAACTGGGAGCCATTTCTCAGGAATGGGCTAAGATTCCACAGGCACGTTGCCAAAAGCTAGTATCTGGCTATGCATCTCGTTTGCAGCAGGTCATAAGAGCAAAATGGGGCTCTACCAAGTACTAAAGATGCTTACCGTGAAGGGGTTGACTAATTTTGAGACTGCAGAAGACATTAAAAGTCACATTTTAAGTTGAATTTAGGAAAGCCACTTGAAACATTGAGTGGACCTGTTTTTATTGCTTTTGGTTTGATTTGTTCATTGCAAAACAGCTGAAAGCCTGCAAATGTTGACAACATGATTTGCAATGGGGGGATGAATAATAATTTTGGATTACAACTGTATACAGCTATGAGGAATGGGAAAACCTCAAATATCAGGAAGTGCACAGCTATTATTAGGAGCAATTCCAGATGAAGGGGAGATTTTTCAGGGCACAATTAACACTTCTAGATGTTCCCTATAACACAGCAAATATTTATGTTTTGGACTGCAGTGCCACTGCTTAGTTACAGAACTATCCACATTTCTACTGAATCAACATAAGACAGTATGAACTGTCAGGGCAGCTTGCAGCATCCTACAGTAAATTACAAGACGTTATGCTTTTAAATGAATACATGTTCATCCTTTTTACCTTGGTGGACTAATCTTCCTTCCCTTTAGCCGTTTTTCTCTAAACTCTCTCCTCTGGCGACGGGAACGGCGTCCCTGAAAAAACATATGAACAACTTTAGTGCTGTATGAAACCAACAAGCCCAACCTTAAGAAAAAACAGTAGGTCTGGAGACAGTAATCGTGCTTCAAATCTGATAGGGAAAACCCCAAGGCAGAGATGGGCAAGTTACTAGTTGAGGATATCAGTCTGCTGCAATGAACCATGTCACGTCGAGCTGCTATATTGGTGCAGATCCTTACAGAATACATGGCCTTCTCTTCTTCCAGTGCCTTAGCATGCTTTATTGCTTCAGATTCCTCTTTGTCTTTCCGTAGCATTCTACAAAACACAATAATGAACAGATTTTAAAAAGCAACTCACTTACACTTGAACATAGGCCTAACCTTCATGTTTGGAACTAGGGAGATCTAGGAAGCCTCGGCAAGTCCGCAATAAAGAGCAGATCCAATATCTATTTCTCTGACATTAAAAATGCAGGCCACAGAGATAACATCCCCAGTCAGATATCATTTAGGGGCAAAATTGTTTCCTATCATTGAAACAAGAAGTGATGGCAACATGACCGGCACAGAGCCTACAACAATAAAAGTCAGCAAAAGGAGCCTCACACTTTTATTCTGGGACAGCACAGTGGCCTAGTGGTTAGCACTTCCCGCTTGCAGCACTAGGGTCCTTGGTTCCTATCCTAGTCGGGGCACTGTCTGAATGGAGTTTGCATGTTGTCCCTCTGCCTGTGTGGGTTTCCTCTGGGTAGGTTATCTGGCTCCTATGTAAACTGGCCGTAGTGCATGCATGCATGATAGAGGGCCCTTTGAGTGTAAGCTGTTCAAGGACACAAACAGATATGACTGTACAATATGCTAAGGCAATACCAAAGAGAAAAGCCCAGCAGTCTTGCAGAGATCACCACACTCACCAAATCCCAATTAAAGTGTTGGGACAACAAAAATAAACTGCACTTCAGATAAACCACTACATATACCGATGAAATGCCTATGTGAAAACTATTTACCGGACAAAAGGGGACTTTAACTGGTTCAACCAGCTTTGTGATACAAACACGTCTACAAGAAAACTGAATGGTTACTTACCGGACAAAATCTCCCTCAGCCATTCCATATGTTGTTGCTTGCCTGTTTAGATCAGAAACCTGTTCTTCTGTGATCTCATCTACATCCACCTCCACATCTGAAAAAGATAAAGTACAATATATGTCAAGCGAAAGCCTAAATCTAAATAGCAGAGCAAATGTGAACAGATGGGAAACTAGAGGACAGACCATCCCTACAGAAATGATGGCGGATTTTATAACCAAGGATAAACTTTTGTGAGGATACTCATGATATACGATACCCATAGAAATGAAAACTTTTACTGAAATAAACACACTATCAGGGCTATTCACAAAAGGGTGAAGAGTTTGAGAAGGCAGGAGAAGTGAACAATCTAGGCCAACATAGCTGAACTGGAAAGTGACCTGAAATTTGAGAATTTTTCCAAATCAGCTATGTTGTCCTAGATCAGGGGTGCCCACAAGGTCGATCTACCAGTGATTGCAATGTCCTCTCCTCCCGCCGGTGGGACTTCTCTGGATCCCCGCTGCTCTCCCCATCTGTATGCACCAGGGATCCGAGAAGAGCCGCTGTCACAGAACTAACGACGAGCTGGTGAGGGGGGAGAGAGGGGGGCTCGGTCTGGATCTGAGAGCCGACGCCTCTCTCCCCCCGCTCAGCCTTAGTTCTGTGACAGCTGCTCCGCCCCCATCCCCCGTGGCTGAAGTGCTTTGAGTCAGATCACCCGCTGCCTCTGCCCAGGAGAGATCCATGGGAAAAGCTGAGCCCCCCGTGTGCATGGCCGAGCGGCAGAGGATCGGTACATATCAGTGATATGTACCGGTCCTCTGTGCAGGACAAACACTGGAGCGATCAGCTGATCACTCCAGTGTTTGTTAATAACTGGAGGCAGGGCGATGGGTAACATCACACGCCTGGGGATGGGGGTGTCGGACGGACGGACGGTTTTTTTCTTGCCTCGGGCGCAAAAGGAGCTCGCTACGGCTATGCTCCCATGGGGGCGGACGGACAGTTTTTTTCTTGCCTCGGGCGCAAAAGGAGCTCGCTACGGCTATGCTCCCACGGTGCTCGTGCGGCTGAATGTGTTAGAATGGGTTACATTTTTGAATGTGTTAGAAGCCGCATATGGAAAGAGGCAGGACACCTCTCCCTATGTGCAATGTCGGCCACACGAGTACCACAGGAGGACAAGACCCCCAGGGCCTCTAGGACGCACTGGCTGGTATGTAAGCTGGCCGACTCCATGCGTTCAGGGGCGGGAGGGGGTGTGGGGTTGTATTGAAGTCAAAGGCACTGCAGGCATGCCCCCCGCCCACAGTGCGATCGCCCGCCACATTAGTGCCTGCATTTCGATCCAGTGCGATCTGCAAAAATAGTGCTTGCAGCATTCTTGCAGATCGCACTGGACAGGAACGCAGGCACTAATGTGCCTGGGTTCCGGGAGCAGGCGATAGCACGGTGGGCAAGGGGTCTGCCTGCGGTGCCATTGACTTCAATGCACCGCCACGCCCCCTCCCGCCCCTGAATGCAGGTGTTTTTTCGTTGGTGGGACTCATCATTTTAAAAGTAGATCTCAAGATGAAAAATTGTGGGTGCCCCTGTCCTAGATTGTTCACTTTTCCTACCTTCTCCAAACTCTTCACCCTTTTGAGAATAGACATGTATACCTACAACATAACTTTTTTTTTTTTTACATTTGGATATATTTGGGAAAAGTAAAGACTTTTGTCAAGGTTTAATTGCTGTCCAATACCACATGGGGAAGGTTTCACTTCACTTTTTTGTCCCTGTAAATAAATCCATAAATAAATAAGGGCGCAGTTTGCACCGGGACAGGAAGACAGACAGTAGGAATAACCTGAAAGATGTCCCCTCCATATATTACTGGGGGAAAAAAATGAAGAGGTTTCGTTGCAGGCTGGGTCACCAATGCAGAGATTTCCCATTACTTCTTGTCTTTGCCATATTCCTAAGTGTAAGGGCCTGTATTGACTGGCTTTTGTTCGATTCAAACTGGGTTTGCATTTCCATAAATGTGGAGTGGTTGATCCCATCCGGAACCGTTGGGGCTCAAATATAAAACATGCAAAAATGTAAGGTCCAAGATGGGGTAAATGCCCCTTTGAGCTTTGATAGCGTCAACAGATATGAGCAAAACCCCAGGACCAAAAAAGAAAAAAAGTTTGAAAAAAGAGCTGCAGAAAAGATGTCCATCCTCCTAGGACACCTTTAAAAGACTGGAGGCATGTTTATAGGTGGAGTGGTATTAACTTGGGCAGGCCTAACATTTCCCCCCCATGTCCAATCCTGTAGACAGCAGTATAACCCTAAGGGTTAAGCTTTCCGTGTTAATCAATAGACCAGAAAAAAAACCTGAAATTTTTCTTCCCCTACGGCTGCAATAAACAAACCTATGTCAGGGATGACTTCATCTTCATCAGATTTGCTCTCATCATCATCGGAATCCTCATCATCCAATTTTTCCGGAGAATCCCCCAATTCAGCAATAGTGCTGTCGTCATAGGTATAGCCTATTGTGGCCTTCTTCTCTGCTAGTCTGCAAACAAATAGGTGTACTGTGATACCATTTACTGCTGTGTTGTAAAACATTTATGTACAGAATATTGATATCACTGAAAAAAAATGCATTTAATACCAACTCCATAAAAGTGCAAATTGAATAGAGAAAACAAGTGAATTCTTAATTATTATTATTATTACATAGTATTTATATAGCGCCAACAGTTTGCGCAGCGCTTTACAATATAAGGAAGACATTACAGTTACAATACAATTCAAGACAAGATGGTAAGGAGGGCCCTGCCCCTGAGGGCTTACAATCTAAAAGAGGAGGGGGAAATGATACATGAGGTAGATCTTTTAAGACTAAACATGTTACCTTTGTTTTGACAACATTGATACCGTAACACCAGTTTTAGCCAAAGTTATAAACTTAAAGCGGATCTTTACCCCCTTTGACTAAAAATCATATCAGCATACAGGTCTGCATGCTGATTATAAAATCATCCTACATTCCTTAGCTAAACAGTTTTATTTTACAATTCCCACTTCCTGCTCCATATTGGCACAAATTATATAATCATGCCCAAGCATTGCATCCTGGGAAGGTTACATCAGCAGAGCATTGCTGGGAAACCTCATCTGTAATCTCATGATATCTCATGGAAAGGCATTTTCCTCTCCCGAGATGATGTGCATGGTAATTTGTTGTAATTTTTAAGATATGGTTATAGTTCCCCCTTTAAATCCTAAAAAAAGTGTTGCTACCCCCGCCACTGCAAAGGTTAACTACTCAAGTTTGTCTAGGGGGATTCTGTAAAACCGTTTCACTGATCTCTCCCCCCTTTACACCGGCTTGTGAACTGTCCCTTGGCGTCCTCACATATAAAGCAGGGCTATTAACCGCGCACGTGATGTTAGCGGGTCTATTACCGCCGAAGCGGAAAGGCATGGGGCTAAGAGGCTTTCGGTCGCTGGTCTTTGAGCCAGCAAAAAGGAACAGGTAAGTAAAAACTGTACAAACTTTAAGACAAAGAGGAGCAGTTACCCTTGCAGTGCGGAGGTAGCCCCACTGCAAGGGTTTTGTTTTTATTTTTTTTACTGTAGACTTTAAGGCCTCAATCACACAGCTAAGCTAACCGTACAGATCCGTGCGGCGTGAAAGGCTGTATCGGCCCGTTACCGGGAAGGACAGGGGCTGCGTGTGATTGTACGCAGCAGCCCGTTCATTATGGGAGTAAGCAGCCGTACGCTCACCCAAGCTGCACATCCACGCGGGTGTCTGTACACAGACAGGACGTATCCTGTCTGCGTCCGAGCACGGACACCTGCACACGTGTGCACTTTGGGTGAGGGTACAGCTGTGTACTCCTATAGAGAAGAAAAGGCTGCAGCGTACAATCACACGCATCACTTGTCCTTCCCGGGAACGGCCCGGTACGGCCGTGCACACATTCATAACTGTGTGAATGACACCTAAGGTACAAAACAAGAACTTACTTTTTCTTCTCATCTTCCCCAGGTCTCTGCAGACCACCATAAAGCTCATCAATATAGATCTGGTATAAACACTGCTCTTCGGAAACTACAAAAAAAAGAAAGAACAAATAAAATATAGGATTTGGTCTGGTGCAAGTCAAACAAAAAAATTCAGAAAGAATACTTACTTCCGGCAAAGTCATTCTGAACCAAGCCCCGATATCGCTCATAATTACACTTTCGGTCATCGGCATCTTGCTCAGGTGAGCTGATGAAAGGAATACAAGACAAAATATTTCATATGCCAAGTAAATCAATTAGAAGTCCAATTTCCTTAGAGTCTGAGCTCCTAAAGTTAAACCATTAAAACTGTACCGAGCAGGTTACAAAACTGAGTACTCACATTGTTGTAAGTAGAGGAGGTTTATATTCTGGAATGTAGTCAAGATGGGCTCGGACATCAAAGCGATCGATCATGTTGTTAGGGTCGCCTTGCCATGGCATCCTGATAGGAAGTAAAAATATTTACATTTTGTTTTTTAAAACGTTTTTAAAATAAGTTTGTTATGAAAACTAGGCCATTCACTTTAAAAATACTCACATGTTAACAGGGCTCTCTGCTGCCAGAGCCACGGCAGAATCCAAATGGATCTTGCATGACCTTCCATGTACTTGAAGGAACTGAGCGGGATCTTTTTTCTGTGGGAAAGAATAATAACTTTTCTTTACATCTAGAATACACCAGTAAGGAGGTACTTTAAAAAAAATTTGCATACTGTATTAGAAACTCTAATTTCAATTAACAAAAAGTTGTTTTTAGGAGGATGAAGCAGCAAGATGTCACCAGCACACCAGAAAAGATGGATCAAACAAATGTCTGCGATTGACATATGTTGTGACAGTGACATTTTAGGGCCACGCAGGGTCCCTTTCATTGAGCTCAGTATAACAAGCCTGATTAAGGGGTGGCCCCGAAATTAGCCATCACTGACAAATAAAAGACGTTTGTTAGATCCATCTTCCTGGTTTGCTGGCGACATCTTGCTTCTCCAGTGATCTCAGCGGCGCCATCCACAGTCATGACAGCATCCACCCTCCGGGGGTTTCCGGTAAGGAGTGCCGTGGGATACTTTATCACAAGCTGGTGTAAATCGGCATCAGCTGCACCTGTAAGAAACATTGGCTGCTCCTACAGATCCTGTTTAAATGTTTTTAGTGGAATAAACAACTTCTGGGGTAACCTTTAAGTGGGCTCTCCTGTTCCTCATTTTCCTTTGAATTCTTCTCTGGTCACTGAACCAAAACAATCATGCATATTAGAAAGTCAGTATTTCTAACCTGAATACTTATTCCAGAAAAAAAAGTGAAGCAGTTGGGACCATTGAGAGAGACAGGCAGCTAGCATTTTGTAGGAGAGGTCAGCAATAGCTATGGATTTCGGCACTTATATGCACACTTCATAAATAAATGTACACACACACACACACCTCAGGTTCCTGAATGCCATGTATACGAGCCTTTAATTATAGCCATAATAGCACAGTGATTATACCACCTACAATTTTCTCATAGTATTCCCGCCGACGTTCTGCCCGCTTTTTATAATCCACCATCATCCCCCGAAGCTTCCGCTCGTGTTTACGAGCTTCATGCCACATCCTTGAACCAGTCTTCATCCGCCAACTGACTGAGGTAAACAAACAAAAAATAGTATAAAAACAGACCATGAGATATACAACACATATGCCGATCTGAGGCAAATTATAATTATAATACAGGATTTATATAGCGCCAACAGTTTGCGCAGCGCTTTACAATATAAGGAAGACGTTACAATACAAATCAAGACAAGATGGTAAGGAGGGTCCTGCCCCTGATGGCTTACAATCTAAAAAGGGAGGGGCAAGTGATACATGAGGAGGTAGCTGTGTAGGGATGATTTTTTTGAGAATGCCAAGGTTGAGCAGTTAGGTTGAGGTGGGATAGGCTTCCTTGAAGAGATGAGTCTTAAGGGATCGCCTAAAGGCAGTTAGAGTGGGAGATAGACGGACAGGTTGGGGTACAGAGCTCCAGATGATGGGAGTGACTCTAGTGGAGTCCTGGAAATCTTTTAGAAAATTTGTTAGACTGTATAATACACAGAACAACGTTTAAGTATTTGAATTTCTGACTTCTACATTTAAATCTACTAGTAAGCATCTAAAAAGAACTAAGCAGACCATAAGTATTCAGCTGACTTCTGAGAACCCCAGGAGACCCAGAATCCCAGTGCACTCCATTACGCAGATTTTTTTTCTAAATAGCTCACTTGGTCCAATCCTTGCCCTCACCTGCATATTGCAAGGACTGGTAGCAGATGAACACAGGGAAGGTAGTCTATGCCTATGGGTGCCTATGGAGAAAACCTGTATCTGTGCCTAGCATTAGCAAAGTACAGGTTTAAGAGTTAAAGAAAGAATAGCTTTTGGGTTACAGAACTTTGCACACTCGCTTTGCCCTTCACACAGATTGCATCAAGAATACCAACTCTCATTGCTCTTAAAGTCTTATACTTACCCAGAAACATTCATTACAAGACAACTTTCTTCATTTCAGGCAACTGACAAAATGTCAGCTAAAGCTTTTCATTTCAGCAATCATGCTTCTCTATTTTTATATGTGCCTTTTAAAATGTAAGCTATATGTTTGTAAACGAATTTTAAAATCCAGTCCTAAATATGAAATATTCTTCCTGCTTCATAATAGCACATAGCACTGCTTTTACAGCCACATTTCCTGCACAAAACTATTCCAGTGTTTAACATTATTATGGCATATGGCTTTATAGAAGCCTAGGTTTACCATGTACCTGCCTAATGTACATGGACATTAACCACTTCAAGACCAGGTATTTAGACCCCCTTCCTGGCCAGGCCATTTTTCAGTGTTCAGCGCTGCAGTACTTTGACTGACGTTTATTCCGTCATGCAACGCTGTACTGAAATGAGTTTTATACCATTTTTTTGGGGGAAAGATAGAGCTTTATTTTGGTGGCATTTAATCACCACTGGGGTTTTTATTTTTTACTATAATTAGGAAAAATTAAAGAAAATTTTGGAAAAAAAAAAAGTTTTTTTTTACATTATGTTAGGAAACATTTATTATTACCCAGTTTTTTGGTAAAATATAAAAGTCAGGGTCACGTCGGATAAGACACCGTGTATCCATTCCTGAGACAAGGCAGTCTGCTGCAAAACAGAAGTTCTGCAGAGCATGAGAACAGATACAGATTTCAAAGGAAGAGCAGCAAAGAGAAGGGAAACAACCATGGATTACAGTAAGGCACACATTACAGTATTGTTTTATGTTAAAAAATCTGAGGGTTTAATGTCACTTTAAGAATATTCTCTTTTTCCTGCCAGAGTCATGCTGATCATAGAGCTTCAATAATATCGGAGTCCTGACATGGAACACTGTAGGTTTTCTGACTTCAATGTTTACATGTTTGTTCCAGGTCACCAACCTAAAGCAATGATTTAAAAAGGAGCAGCAACACCATTGGCCAACTATGAATTTCAAGGAAAGGCCAGATATATCAACTGATTTACCTTGCTCAAAGAACTTGGAAAAAAAAAAAAAGTAACTTGCACATGCAAATGACCTCCTTGCCCACAAACAGGACCCCGTGTCGGCTTATGGAAGAATAGCGATTTGGAGGAGTTTTACAACCTGCTCATTCAGCAGCTGCCCCAACAGTGACCTCTCAGTGCAGTTAAGAATCTCCTATAGATCAGGTTAGAAAACATAAGGTTGTCACAATGGTCATCTATGAGGGTAGACCAGTTAGAAGCCTAGGTTGCTTTACAAATCTTACACGCAGCGTATAGCTGGGAAATTGCCGTTCACATGGCATTACCCCCACTAGAAGCCACAAGAGCATTCGTCCACCACCATCTCCTCTGCTGCTTCTTTCAAGTGCACTGTTATTCTCTTCAGTCATAACATGCGAGGCCCACAGATACATACTTACTGCCAACCATTACCCAGGGCCTCCCATATGTGTTTGCACTGCACGCCAAAGTCCTCTCTCTGGCTATGCCTGCACAGAAGATCCCCATGGAAGTCTATGAAGCTCATCTTCCTGCACCAGATCTCGGTAAGTATGCATCAGTGGAGGGGGACAAAAATAATGAGTGCACTTTGTCTGAAAGAGCACCCATCCTTTAATATACAAGACAGGAAGTAAAGAAAAATCTTAATGGGATACAAAAGGATACAGAGCTGTCATTGGTTTCAACCTTTCCCTTCATTGTACAAAACTGAAAATAAATCATTTTAAATCCCTGTGTTTGCTGGAACCATTGCATTCTCCACATGTACATGCCAAGTAATGATTCAGTGCAGAGCTGGGATTCTGGGCACATATAAGCGTCCTTTATATGTCCATGCTGTGCACAGCTACAGGCCGACTGATCATTGTCACAGCCTCCCAGTACTACAGGGAGCCCCTCCATGTCCCACCACAGGCTCAGCCCACCATATGACCATTATACACTACATACACTCTTACCAGTTGCCTGCAGCAAAAACCGGAAATGACGAAACGCAAAGAAGCTGCACCCGCAGCGAGGATGCGCGCTTATCAGCCCGCACCGTGACGTCACGCGGCCTCCAGAGAAGCTCAGCTCGGCGAAGCGTACATTGACGTCCGTCAATGCGGTGTACTGTGAGAAGCTTTCCGTGGCAAAGCACGAGCAACCGCTCCTAACCTTCCCCGCACATCTAGCATGTAACTGCAGGAAAGCCTACGCCTTCTGGGATAAGATGCTTGCTGATTGGTCGTAAAATGTCACGTGACTGATACAAGGCCTTTATCGTCTGTTACTAGAGGAAAGGATGTCTTCAGCTAAGCAGTACTGAACCGCATTTTATGTCTCCAATTATGGAGGGAAGCCATTCTACCGGAGACCAAGTTTCTCGTACCCAGAAACATGGGGGTCTGATTTTTTTTTAGTTATTTCTAAAATGAAGAACAAAATGTGATATATTGCACCATACAGTCCTTAGATATGGTGACTGTATTCGTTTTTTCCTGACCTTTTTCACTTACTTGGCAACCTTGCTAGTAACTCACTTCCTGTCCTTTAGATGACAACGCTCACTCACTGTACTTCTGTGAAGAGAAAACGCATTGGTCGGAGGTGTTCTGTAGTTCACATAAGAGAACTGAGAGGGAAAATCTGATTTATTAAAGTATATTTAGTACATGTAATATATTGCACCATACCAGTCCTTAGATATGGCAGCTGCATTTATTTTTTTTCTGACTTTTTTTCCCCCCTTTTATTTTCACCTGTGACCCAGCTAGTAACAGACTTCCTGTCCTAGAGTGACAACACTCCCTCACTGTAAAGTATCTATGGAGGTGAAGCCTTGTTACCATGGGCTGCTTTTCTGATTTGGATTACAATTACCCCCCTCCTCATCTCCAAGACATAGGTCAGAGGTGTTCTGTAGTTTGCACAAGAGAACGTAGAGGACCGATACCATTGCTTGAGATTTCAGTTCAATGCACAGGAAGTTACAAGGAAACTGAATCTCCGGGCAGGATCAACAGGTGGTTTTCTGAACTTGTAGGAAAATGTAAAAAAGAAAACTACAGCAGTCGCCACATCTAACGACTGATAAGCTGCAATATATTCAATGTTTGTCATTGGATTAACACTTTAAAACTGGACCAAAGGAAAGGACGGCCAGAAAGAAATGTTTAGAAAGCGGTCTTAGAGACTGAGGAGCGGTCTTAGAGACTGAGATTCAATAGGCACTTTAAATACATTTTTTTCTGCACTTATGTATGTTTCATACATATACGGAATTGCGTGTAGAAGGGTTTGAGCCTCTAATGTTTTTGACACAATAGCTGGAATCTTCTGTCATATCCTCTCAGGTGTCCTGTGAATGGATGAAGGGGTGGATGACTGACGGGGGCTCCTATCGCCCATTCACAAAATGCCTCTCATTCTGGTAAAGTAGTACACATTGAGGGGAATTTATCAAAACTGGAGCAGAGAGAAGCTGGAGCAGTTGCCCATGGCAACCAATCAGCATCTCTCTTCAGTTTGCTCAGGTAAGATTTGAAAGTGGGACAGAGAAGCTGATTGGTTACAGTGCAAATCTGCTCCAATTTTGATAAATTCCCCCCACAGTGTTTTGTGGATGCACAAGGGGAGAGTAAGAGGAAGGTACAGATGCAGTGCTGATGGAGCCGTGAGTGAGATGCACCTTTACTGAAGGGAGGATTTTTAAAGTAACCAGCAGCCAGCCAGACATAAGATACACTTCATTAAAACAAACCAACTACTACTAGTATCACCCTAACTGTCCTCTCCAGAACTCCTGCTCTCTAGCTCCCTCGTCAACTCGTCCCATGCTCGCCTCGAGGACTTGTCTAGAGTCTCTCCCATCCTTTGGAACTCCCTACCCCAACCTGTCTGGCTGGTTCCTACTCTGTCTGCCTTTAGGCGATCCCTGAAGACTCATCTCAACCTAACCACTCAACCATCACGTTCTCAAACAATTCATCCCCACACAGCTACCTCCTCATGTATCACTTGCCCCTCCCTTTTAGATTGTAAGCTCTCACGGGCAGGGCCCTCCTTACCATCTTGTGTTCATTGGTATTGTAACTGTAATGTCTTCCTTATATTGTAAAGCACTGCACATACTGTTGGCGCTATATAAATCCTGTATAATAATAACAACTGCTGAAACTAACTTTGCACATAAAAACGAGCCATATCCAGATGCTAATCTGTGTCATTGACTTTAGAATTTGTTCTGGCATGGAGCCCGAGAGTCCTTGAGACACAGATGCCCGCAGTATGCAATCTCTCCCGGTTTTAGAAATCTTAGCACTGATAATGCTCTCGGTGCATTCCACAATGCAATACAGGTCACCTTTCAATAGGTTCCTGAGGCCCTGCATTGTGGGATGCATTAGGTGTCTGGCCTCAAGGCTTCCCAGGAAATCCTGCACCAGTGTCATCAGTATCAATCAGAACATGAAGGCGCCTAATGGTCCTAATGCACAAAATTAGTTTTGGGGCTTGTTGAATAATGAGAGATGTGTAGTTTAATCCGTCTGTATTGTTCATGCTAGCTGTGGTATCCTGTGGCATACTGGAACAGGTCCTTCCATAATGGATGAATGCGTGTGTGTGTGCGTTTTACACTCAAAAAACAACATCTGTGTTTTAAATTCAAATTTATTAGCAAAAACAAGAATTCAGAAAGACATAAAAACCAGTGCAAACCTAACCAAATCTAAATCACAGCTTAATTAAGAGAAATAGACTAAAGTTATGTGGTGCTCAAAACAATTTAACAACATTCTCTAAAGTAATCTTCAAAAGCTGAACTCCAGGAAAACAGCTAATTGTACCATTGAAATAAATAATATGGGAGCTGTTCTACATGCCAAATTACTTGTACTTCCAGCCAACCAATCCAGAGATATACAAAGCTCTGCTAGGGGCAAAGACAGGTTGGTGACTTGACTTTTTCAGCTATAATATAGGAATACAGGTAGGTCACCTCCCTGCCCCAAGCCTAAGATTGGCCAATGAAGGAGCAGCAGCATGACTCGGAGAGAGGAACTGAACACTAGGAAGCTGTGCCCAAAAAGGCAGGCATAGGATGGCAAAGAACTAGTAACTAGTATTGCCTGTGGTCTCTCTGCAGCTGATCTTTCCCTCATTACTGAATAAACATGCCTTGCTCTGCACTGTCTTTGTGTGGAAGCAAGTCCCACCCCACTCCTTACTGGTAAACCCCTCTAAGATGGGGGCTGAAATGCCTGTGTGGCACCGCTCCAATCAATTTATACCTGCACGGCTGCCAGCTTTAAAATAGAACCCATTCATTTAATCGCAGTTAAACAGAGCAAGGTTTTAGTATGTACCATATGAAACAGGACAGTTTACATTGCAATAAATATGACCTAGACGTCTTTTCAACTATATTTTTCTTTTACATGCACCGTACAACTTGGCAGTGACAAGAGGCTTCAAAAAAATCTTCAAGTTTCAGATTACTAATTCCACAAAGTTGTGGTTGGGTAACAAAAAAAACAACTATCACATAGCCCCCAGGCGTCCTGATTTTTGTAGGAAGGTATTGATTTATGCACCTTCAATTAAGCGTGACATAGTGCAACATACTTGGCTACAGATTTATGTGGACCTTGGATTAGAATACATACCGTGTTTCCCCGAAAATAAGACACTGTCTTATATTTTTTTTTGGCTCAAAAAAACACACTAGGTCTTATTTTCGGGGTAGGTCTTTTTTTTTTTTTTAATGTACAACAATCCAAAGTTAACGCAAATCCAAATTAAATAATCCAAAATGGCAAAGTTAAGAATGGGGTGATCAGGGCAATCAGGGGTGCCGCACCTTTCCAAGAACAACTTGGTAACCAATCGCTGGCCAGAATGAGCAAAGCGCACTTTCACTATCGATTCCTCACAGGTGGAGTGCATTTGGTATCACTCCGCCTGTGACAGGAGCCGACGCTATAGAGGAGGCATCGGCTTATGCGGCTCTGCTCCCTCCGCTGTTGCCTCCTCTAGCGCTGGCTTCATTGGCACCGCTGATTCTCTCCCGCGGCTCTTCAAGTTCCCCCTTATGCCACCACCGGCCCTGGGAATGGTCACAACTAGGTTATTTTCGGGGTAGGTCTTATTTTGGGGGAAACAGGGTACCATTATAAAACAAAGCACAGATAGAACCTACAACCCCCTATTGAATAAACTGAATGTTGTGTGCATTGTACAGCTTGGCTTCAGTAATAACTATTTTAGGGTGATTTATCCCACAAATTGTGGTGGAGTAAAAAAATAGCTAACTTCAGCATACCTCCCAAGTATCCTAATCTTGGCATAAATGAAAAAAAGTAAAACATTTTTGCGCCTTAAAAGCATAGTGCAATTTGTATGGCTACAGACCAATATGTGGTTTAGGTGAGACAGTATATCATGAAACAAACCAGTTTACACTGCAGTAGATAGGACTAGGATTCCTCTCTTTACAGGCTTTCACATGCCTTGTACAACCTGAGTAAGGGTCAAACAGAAAGCTATACTGAAACCTCAGTTTTTAGGTAATGGCAACTTCCACAAAATTGTGGCTTGCTTTTGCACTTTAAAGAAACTGACTTTTAGGGATAATTCACGTTTTCCAGTGTAGCCCCAACACTAGACAAGGCAATCTGCTTTGTTTTGAATGGACTCAGTCCAAACCACCACATTGCCACCTTTGTTCAGGGCAATGAGTTGCCGTGCGGTACATCCGCTTTGCACTGCACTTTGCCTATAGAACTTGATGAAATGTCACCTGTGACATTTTAATAAAGTTTGCATGAAAAAAAGGTAAACAGTGCGGTGTACTGGGATTGCACATTAGCACTGTGTCTGGCAAAGTACACCAGCAGCTGCTGGTGTGAACTGGCCCTAAAAAAGACATGGGCCATCAGGAAGGTGAATATAATGGCTCTTCTCCTGCAGGGTACTGCAGGTATGATCATTTTAAAAACTGACAGAGTCTCTTTAAAGTAAACAGAACCTGTAGGCTCACTTTACCTTGCAAAGTGGCTCCCTGTCCATAGTGCAGGAATATCCAGGTGTCTGCTTGCATGTTCACTTTTATCTTCAAAGTGCCTTAGTAACCCATAAACCCAGAGCACACTATTACACACACACACGTATCGTCCACAACTTCCATGTTGTTTGAGGTTTGCCTCACCTCTAGTTCCTGCCCACTGACCTGAGAGAGTGCCCTTCACATTTGCGGGCAATAGAAAAGGCAAGGGGATGTGAGAAGGAGAGGCAAATATGAATCACGGAAGTTTGCATAACAAGCTTCATTTTTGGTTTTGAGCAAATCGAGGCACTTCGAAGATAAAGCGAACATGCTAGCAGACACCTCTAGGCCCTGCTTTAAGGATCTGGGGCTTACTAGGTAAGCTGAGCTCATGGGTTTTATTTTAGAATAGCTATGACATAATACACTTTCAGTGACAATAGAAAGATTTGGATAGGGGCCTGGACCAGAAGCAGGGTTAATATCAACCATATTTACACTGTAAAACATTGGAAGGTAATGGCAGGATCTTGAATTGCCCCATTATTTCATTAAAAAAAAGTGCACTGCTGGGATTTATCCCACAAATATAATTGGTATGGAAAAAAAAGGCTTTAGATTGTAGCTGGATTTTTGGTGTATTTAAAATCCATTGCATATGTAAAAATTGCTGGTTTAGATTCTGCATGTTTTTAGATGTTTTACTGTTTGTGTAACAAGAAAATAGACTGAGTCCAAAGGTAGTCTACTAGGTCCGCGAGATGATAACATGGAATTTACCTAAAGAAAGAAAACAATCCATTAGCATTCCTAAATTTCTTAGGCTGGATTAATGATCCCTAAACCCCTAATTCCCGTGCCCCATTTTAAAAGTGGCACCGATTCCTTTTCCCCCCCCCACAAGTGCCTTTCTTAAACTATGGGCCGCTTTATTATCCTGGAGATTGGGCTAGCATCTGAGACAATAAGCCTTTAACTGGTAGAGTGCCTCACTGCATGTAGGATACAGAATGCAGCATATGCCCAGGTTGAGGGAGCTGCCGGGGTGTACGAGTATGATTTTCAGTCAATTTTCAGCAATTAAGGTATGTGCAAGAATACTGTGATGCCTAACAATAGACTGTTGTGGGAGTTTAATATACTTCCAATGGTGACAAGTTTACGTTACACTAGTGGGCTGGGCTAGGTAGGTATAAGGCTAGCACTTGCACTGGCCTCAGCGCTAGGGTTCATATTAACGAGCAAGAAAGAAGGGGGTGTCTCCCTCCTCTCAATCATTAAGCTATCTGTATACTGTTAAAAGATGTCTGTGAAGGTTCTCATTCATCCAGGTCATGGTATACTGTATCCGTAAAGAATAAGTCAAGGCAACTGGACTTTCTGTATTTTTCTTGAAGATGTTTCCCTGGACATCCGACCAGCTTTCTCAATTCAGAATGACTTGTACAAAAATGATCTGGGAATAAATATGGTGAATGTTGCTCCAATCCACATAATCGCAACCAGGTGTTGGATGGATTTGCATAATTATGTAAATGACCAGTGAAATGTCTTCAAGAAAAAAGACAGCACGTCCAGCTGCCTTGACTTATTCTTTACAGATATTTTTAAAAGATGTGAAAAGAAGTTTAAACACACACACACACACACACACACATTTATTTATCTATATATAGATAGATATTTATCTATCTATATATAGATATTTATCTATCTATATATATATCTATATATAGATAAGTAGGGGTGCAGGTGAGCGTGTTCATACGGTGCCGAAATGGATCCTGTATGCGTCCCGGCCAGAAAACCCGCACCCCTACGGACCTGCAGTTGAGGTGAGCGTAGGGGGGCGTACGGCTGCGTAGCCCCATAGAGAAGGACGGGGGCTGCGTACTAATCACACGCAGCACCTGTCCTTCTCGGGAGCTGCTGAAGTACGGCCCTGCACCCAGCACAGAGCTGTATGTGCGGGCCGATTCGTGTGTGATTGAGGCCTTAAGGTGTAATGAGACACAAAGCAGCTGCAACCCACAACACCCAAACCAAATGTACCCTTTTAATAGTCTGGAATACAGAAAACTATATTAAAAGCTTTCCAAATTTTTACTTTCCTATTAGAGACCTCCTGGCTATGGGGATTCACTATTCACTACAGGCTTGATGCTCTGACACAGTCTGCATACTAAGGAAGTGAGTAAGCCACCGATACCCATACAAGAATAATTATTCATAGGACGTTATCGATTTGTATAAGTGTATCTTGGGAGTAAACAATCTGGGTTTCACACAAAGTATCCACAATAATAACAGTGCAGACACTAAGGTGTGAAATAACATAAGAACTCACAGGTAGGCATTATGGGAACTTCTGCAGATACTGTACAGTTGATTCCTAAATTACAGAGTGCTCCTTTAATGAGTCCACATGTATAAGCCAGGAACTGAAAGACAAAAAGAGGCACACAAATGTTTGTATTACTCTATTGTATTACTCTATTGTATTACTCAGGGACTGGTCTTGCAGCCTGGAGGGAGCCGGCAGGACAGGTAGCTAAGTCTGCTTAATTTGAGTCCCCTAGACAAAATGAGCACTTAACCTTTCAGGGGTGTGGAATTCCTATAGCCCGGGACAGGCAGTTTCGGGCGCCGGGCGAGTATAGAGCTGAATGTACAGTGGGAGCCGCCGCTCGTTTTCATACAAGTGATCTAATCAGATCACTTGTATGAAGCGTGAATCGGCAATCCTGTCCGCCCCCCCCGCCACAGCGGTTTTCGGGTGTCCCCCGATCCTCTGGTGGACCTGACAGGTGACACCACGGGACGGGAGCTCACCATAGAGCCCGCAGAGCAGACGAAGAACTTCCTTTCTTCGTCTGCTCTGTGCTATCACTGAGACCGTGGCGCTGTGATCACAGCGCCACCTGTCTCGGCTGTCAGGAACTGCACAGAACATCAGTTCTGTGTTGGAGGGCAGGTTCCATAAAGAGAACCTGTCACCTCCAAACTATCACATAGAGGATTTTAACACCATGTGATGAGGCCCTATGCATTTTGAATTTTACTGGCAAATTAAAAGCACTCATTGGTCAGCGTGGTCAAGTGATTGGCCGGGAAGCCAGCTCCTTGCCGATTGGCCGCCAATCAGCATCGAACCTTCTTCCCGGCCAATCAGGTCATTACGTTGGCATGGAGCAGGCCTCCCAGCCATTCACAATCAAGCCGGCCAAACAACATGGAGTCGGCTTCCCTGGCAGTCAGGAAGCCGGGTAGCATCTCATTACCCGCTGCCTAGCTTCCTGATTGCCCGGGAAGCCTGCTCCATGCCAACGGGTGAGTACTGAAAGCAAAATATTGGTACTCGATACCCAAAAACTGGTATTGGTGCATCCCTAGTTTTAAACTTTTAAAACTTTTTTTGTTGTATTGGGACAAGTAGATTGTCATGAAGGACAAGTAGATTTGACCCCCGCTTTAGCCCTTGGACAAGTAGTTTTTTCAAAAATTTCCACACCCCTGCCTTTCCAGTGCGAGGTAGCCCCACTGCAAGGGTAAGCTTGTGATTTTCCCGGGGGTTTTCTAATGATGGGTGTTTTATGTGTGGATGTTGCAGCATTAGGTAAAACCGTTCCTTCTGTCAAGAAAAGTGTTGCTTGTTCTCCCCCTTCCTCCAATAATAAAGCATCTTGTTTTAATAGAATAGAAGGTGTTCTGTTATTGGACAAGGGAAGGCCCTGTCATTCATCCACCCCTCCACTCACCTTGTCCAATCACAAAAAGGCTTTTATTCTTTGAAAAGAACACAAAATGTTTTATGAATATAGTGGAAGAAGGTGGAGAGCGAACAATGCTTTTCTTGAGTGTATGAGAGCCAGAACTGTGATTTAAACTGCCAGACGTTTGGCGGTTACAGTAATTAAAGGGATAAATAAAAGTATGAGCTTTACCCAACACTACAGCATCCACATGTACAACACCCATCATTAGAGGTAATTTATGGTTACGTAGCAAATGTGGGGGGGGAAAAAAAAAGTTTTTTGTTCCTGGAGTTCTGCTGTACATACTAATGATGCTTTACCTTTGGTGCTTCCTCTAGGTATTGCTTTGTGCAGGATAGCTGGGTCAGAAGCAGAAACTTGTTGTCTTGTAAAACATAAGTACCCTATAAGAACATCAAAGAGAGAAGTTATACTTTCAAGGATCCAGATAGTTTAGGAAAGAAGACTTTGTAAAGTATAAAGATGTAACGTTTTACCAAGGAATAACATACAAATACTGGCATTACAGTGTATGACAGATCCCCTGTCCAATATTTATGCTGACTGTTTCCCTACTAGGTAGATTCACTCGGTTTGCCCTGGTGACCATTATAACCAAGTCAGAAAATGATGGGAAATACAAAAAGGTATCATTATCATTGGAAGAGTAGGAAAGGGGAAATCTTCCAATGGGGAGACCTGTTTCACCGACAACTAAGAGGGGAATTCCTCTAACTTTGTAGAGATTTCTTCTTACTTCCTGTTATGTCTCTGAGACAGGAACTTGAAGGGAAATCTTTAGTCAACAGGACACAGACAGCAAACAAACTGATAAGGCTTTAACTGTTCCCTATCCAAGACTAGAAAAAAAGAAAGTTCTGGCTATACATTAACAAGCAAGAAACAACTCAATCAGCAAACTAACAGTGCTTATAATGTTTATAACATTGAATGCATTTTCTGACCCTTAGTAGGCTTCACACTGAACCACACAATGGCTTCTGCAGGAAAGAACTCTCAATACCATGAACATCCACATCTACTCCCATAGGAGAACAAGTGTAGACATTCCGCTACCAAACACACCTACTGAATACTGATGCTCACCTGTCATCATACTTATTAAAGAACAACTCCAGGCATAACCAGTCTTAACCCCTCAGTGGGGATACCCCCGCACACTGCAGGAGTGAATTGCTTGTTTTCAACTAGCAGTGAAAATAACAAAGTTATAGGGCTGCAACAACTAATCGACATAATCGATTATTGAAAAAGTTGTCAACTTTTTCAATAATCGATTAATCGGCTTCCGATCAGTTGGCCCTGATCACAGCATATACTCACCCAAACTTCATAGCCAGGTAGCTCCTAGACCAGTCCCTTAGCCGGTCTACTTTCTCCGCTCCAGCGAAGGAATGTCCCTCGTGTCCTCATGTTCAAAACAGCGTATTAAACGCAGTGCCTTACTGGACCTTAGGCCGCTGGAGTGGAAGGGGAGAGAGGCTGAAGGGGCTGCTCTAAGTCAGCTGCAAGATTCAGGTAAGTATAACTTTGTTATTTTTGTCCTTAGATGAAAAACAAGCACTTAAACCTTGCAGTGTGGGGGTATCCCCACTGCAAGGGTTAAGAATAGTTATGTCCAAAGTTCTTCTTTCAAGGAAAATTAAACAGTATTTTCAGTCAAGACAGATTTTAAGTTACTATTGCCATGTTTAACTTTAAGTCATTTTGATGAGACTTTTACATTTTACATGCTTGGACTTCAAAGAGTTTGTTATTGTAAGTCTGTGAGATTAGCCATTCCAATCATTCCGTCTGCCTTGTTCACAAATGTTGAGATAGGATATCAGCCACACAGGGATTGCATAGATGTCTGCTCTTTACGGTTGGCTTATAGACTGAGCAAATTTGGCTGCATCAATGTAGATATTTAAAAACAATTGATACACAGAAACATAGTTTTAAAAACAAAAAACACACAATGATAAGATTATTTACATCCCTCTCAAGTTCACCCAAAAATACATCCTTGTCCACAAACATTTTATATAAAGCCCTAAAATACCGCTAGAATTTGTTAGGGAAACAGTCTAGATTCATTCTATATCAGAACAAACATACATACATATTTATTGGTACATAGAAGGAAACCTGCTAATATTTTATGAATCAAAGCAAGAAAATTTGATAATGACATCACAGAAGAGCGTGTCTTGTCTTTCCAGTGAGAGGGGCAGTTTATAGCTCATACCTGGTGGTTTGTTCTCAGATTATCAATCTGCTTCTTAAAAATGATTGTCCACAAATCCTTACAAATGAACTTCACAACATCCAGGTCATCTTTGAATGAAGGGCTGTCCTTTGTTAATCTAAAAGGTTAGGAAGAACATGTTATTTCATTTTCTTTATTCACTTCCCCTTAAAGTCTCTATGGGCTCCCAATGTGTTATCTACAACAGTACGAACTGTCAGAGAAAGCTGGAACTTGCAATTCCCCAACAGATAGAGTTCTCCAAGTTTCTAATTCTGTTTAGTGCATTATGCTTTTTAAAACTGAACACCAGGCAACCATATAACTACACATACACTGATTAGCTAGAACATATGACCACTGAGGCGTGAAGCGAATAACAATAATGATCTCGTTACAATGGTACCTGGAAGTGACTGGGATATATAAGGGAGCATTTTGTCCCAGAAGATGATGTGTTGCAAGCAGAAAAAAATCGGCAAGCTTAAAGTGACATTAAAGTAAAAAATGTTGACTTTAATGTTGACTCCGATCCAGCGCTGACTCCTCTGAGCGTGCTGGCACTTCCTGTCCCACGGTGTCTGCATGCGGGTGCACGCGTCCATAGACTTACCTTGTGTCTCTCCTCGCGGCCGAAAATGTGATCTGCGCATGCGCCCGACCCAAGATGCTTTGCGGCCTCCCCAGAATTTTCACATTTTCAGACAGGCGCGCGCGGGGAAGACACAGGTAAGTATTAACCCTTTTCAAAGCGTTTTTTTTTTTTACACTTTTTGCATATATCTATTGCTTGCTAGCTGTAGATATATGCAAAAAAAACGGAGGCTTTAATTATCCTTTAAGGATTTAAGCAACTTTGACAAGGGCCAAATTGTGATGGCTAGACAACTGGGTGAGAGCAACTCCAAAACTGCCGCTCTTGTGGGATGTACCCGGTATTCAGCGATCAGGACCTACAAAAAGTGGTCCAAGGAAGGAAGGATCGCTCCTTTGCACAGAGCTTAGCCCCGCCTATAGTCTGTGTTCAATAACAAGCTTAAGGTGGGTTTTTGATCACAGGAGTACATTGCAATATGTACCCCTGTCTCATTAGCAATCTAAAAGTGCGCAAAACATCATACCCCATAGTTCTCTTTTAAATAATATACGGTAGTTCTGGGCTGAAGACAGTTTGAAAACATCAGAAAAAAAGACTTAAAACAATAATTAAAACTGATACAAAGCAATTACAGCTCATTTAATGCCTTCCACCTTCCCCCAGAAAATGTCAGCCCAAAGAGGGAGAGAGAAGATTTCACACTTACCTTTCAATAAGTCCTTGGCCCACACGGAAACCCATACCTTCTAAAATCTTGATGTGCTTGCCTTGATCCTGTAAATAACACAACACTTTAAAAATAGCCAAAAGGTTATTGTACAATAGGCAATAATACTGCACCAAATCATACAGGAAAAGAATGAATACCTTGAAAGCACCAGTCAGTCTTCATACATGACTTTGTCCAGAATCCATTTTCCATGAAGAATTTATGGTTATAATGTCCCAATATAAACACTACGAAGCTGATGTCATCCGTTATTTGACATTAGGACTATGAAAACCCAACAAAAGCAGTTACGTTTTGGACGACATTGGAAAAGGTTAAAAACCTCTGTGAGCTTTTCAATATGTTTGGTATCCCTGTTGAGGAGATTCATTTCCTGTCCTGCATGACACCCATCACCTGGACAGGAAGTAAGGGAAAAATCTCCCTAAAAGGAACATAGCAGTAAAAAGCCAGAGTTTCTACCCATTTTCCATTCTACTAGAATACCTGTTATTACTGTCTACATCCCTATCAGGGATATTTCCCCTCACTATATGTTCCAGCATCCACAAAATAGACAAGAAATAGGGATATTTTCCTCACAACCTGTTTTGCCTAAATGAGGGTAAATCTCGCAAATGGGGACACAGATACCTATGAGACCTAAGTACCCATTCACACCATTGCACATTATGCGTACTGGTGAGCTGCAGCACCATAACGCATGATAACACACCTCTGTGCATTGTGCACTGCTTTGCAAAATACAGTACAGGCACTTTCATTAATGTGTTTTCAGCCCATTCATATAAATAGGCTTCCTTGACATAATGTGCCTAACCCAACGCACCAGACCGCAATGGTGTGAATAGGCCTTTAACAGTCTTTAAAGCAGAACTCCGAGTTAAATTGTTCTCATCCCTTGCAGTTTGGGGCTACCCCCACGTTGCAAGGGTTAAAGTGACATTAAACCCTCAGATTTTTTAACATAAACCAATACCAATGTGTGCCTTACTGTAATCCATGGTTGTTTCCCTTCTCTTTGCTGCTCTTCCTTTTAAATCCTCATGTCTTCTCATGCTGGGGGAGAACTTCACTTTGCAGCTGAGTGCCTCTTCCTGTAGTGCTGGCTCAGGTTGCAAACCTATACACAGACACCATGTAGCCATTCCAGAGACAAGGCAGTCTGCTGCAAAACAGAAGTTCTGCCCAGCATGAGAACAGATACAGATTTAAAAGGAAAAGCAGCAAAGAGAAGGGAAACAACCATGGATTACAGTTAGGCACACATTACACTATTGTTTTATGTTAAAAAATCTGAGGGTTTAATGTCACTTTAAGTGCTTCTCTATTTTCTTAAACAAAAAGTTATACTCATCTGATCCTCAGAGCCGGCTTGCTCTTAGACCGATCCCTTTCACCTCGCTCCCCCTCAGCTGCAGCGGTCTAAGGTCCCCGAGTCATCACATTCTATACACAGCGGACGTGAGGACAACGAGGGACATACCAACATTGCAGCAGAAGATTGGGTGAGTAAACATTTTACCTGGAGTTCTGCTTTAACCCTTCCACACTTTATCAAAACGTTTAAGAAAATGATTAAAGCCAGGTGTTTTCTTTAAAGCCTTCTCTGAGGGGGAAAAAAAAACTTGCAGTGGGGCTGCCCCCGCCTTTTACAAGAGAAATGATCATATAGGTCTAGGGTACTTCCAAAAAGGTATTTTACTAACCTGACCCCCACTCCCTTCAAGATACCAGACCCGCACCTGCGGTTGGAAGCCCCCTGGCATCCTCACATACAATGCAAGGCCAATAGCCCTGAATTACACGAGAGGACAAAGAGAGGCACAAGCCGGGGTGTAGAGGAGACAGGGAGAAGGCTAAATGTTGGGGAGCGAGTATTACGTTAAACTGTTTATCTGATAACATAGACCTAAATGAGCAGTTAACTCTTGCAGTGCTGGAGCAGCCCCGCTGCAAGTAAAGTTTTTTGTTTTTACTGGAAATGAGCTTTAAAAAAAATGTAAACATAATTAGACACATTTTATGACAGCAGTAGGCATAGCTAATAATTTTAGCTATGAATGTTTGACTTGAATTACATCATATCATTGTTAGATCTTACCTCTTCATCGTGTCCTGCACTTTTATGTGCAAGGGAGACCATCTCCATATGTAACAGTGCAAACAGAGTCTCATCAGCCATATCTGGACTTTGTATTCTTTATATCTGTGCTGGAAGACCAGTCAGTGCCTCATCAGATCTACAGCCCGATCAGTAGTTTGTCACATCAACCAGTGTCCTCATATTTCATCCCAGTGTAATCCTTCTTCACAGTAACAGATGGCACAGCTGTCCTAGGGCTGCACTAGAAAAAACACCTTCTTCTTATATCAACCATACATTCTATCAAAACATACACAGGTCTCTTCTTACACATACAACTACTGGAATATAGAAATATAATAATCAGAATAAATATCAACTGCAAACTTCACGTCTTCCTGGTTGTTGGGTTTACTAGCGCAGTCTTTACTTACGACTCGCCCCACTTCCGGCTTGGTGTTCACAAAAGTCTTTCCCCGCTTCTGGCACAGTTTTGCCCCATTTCCGGCTTTCTCACCAGTTATTTGATATGCAACTTCCGAAAATGATCTATAGTTGACCTATTTAACATTTTGGTACCGCTGTTTCTCGGTATTAGATGCGTATTAGATATCATCGCGCTATTTGTTGTCTGATCGCTGTGTGGAAGACAGATCCAAAGCGGGGGTGTTGGGTGTTATGTGAAGAGTGTATTCTTCCCCACTTCCGGTCGCATGACACTTATCCAGAGAAGGGGCAGCTATACCACTGGGAAGGAAGTTGTGTGTCAGTGATCAGTCACCTGCACTGAGAGGTCTAACTGTCCTGAAGGTAACTATAGTCAGGGGGATGTGTATAAAGGAGGGGAATGGCCACATCTGGCTCTATTCCATTGTACAGGATTATTTTACACACTTATAAATGTTTACTTTTCCATTCATCTGGTTGCAGCTGTTACACTTTGAACCAACAACATAATCTATGTCAGGATATACATAACGCACAGGGCAATATAAAATGAAAACATATGCAGTACATATGTATGTATATACTGTATATCTCTATATGCAATACATGCACATTTTCCCATGTCTTATCTCCTATCACTGCTGGAACTATTTTTTTGAAAACATTTTTGCACACTTCGAGCAAAATATGACCCACCTCTCATCCCTCTCTAACCCACCCTGTAAGGTTTTTTTTGCTCTTTACTTGTAAAGCAAGTTACACTCTCCTAATGCCCCCTTCCAGGTCACCTGCTGACGCTGTTTACGGGTGCAGGGGAATGCTAATCTAGCTTTGCGGATGGTCCCTCCCCGGCCGGTTCTCTACCATCTGCTTGGTTCTCCTCTGGATCCTGAAAGGACCCACACTGCTAGACAGCCAATAGGAAGTGTCCACATCACACAGACACCCGAATAAGTACCTGTGCTCAATGTAAACAAAAGAGAGAAGACTTAGTACTGGATGACTGCATCTTGCAACTTTCCATAAGTAAATTGGGCATCAAGCCAATCACTACCTTGCATTGCAGCATGCTACAGTTCAGGTGCATTTCCTTAGTGTCATTTAAGATGCATGGCAACACAGGGCACCAATGCAGGTTAGGTGCATTGTTGCAATGCAGAAGTGTTAATCCTGGCTGTTCCTGTTGTAATTGCTGAGTGTGCAATCTGGAGAAATAAAATGTTTACAGGCAAATGTAGTTATGGACTTATGAAGATCTATTTATAAAAGGTATGCAGACCCTTTTGCTCTGTTTTTTAGATTTGAACCGCATTCCTATGATCCTCAGCTCCATCTAGTGGCCATAATGCGGTGCGTGCAAATCTACAACAAAGACGTCCACAAAGCAAACAGCTGTGAACATTTTATAAATACATCCCAAAGTGAATTTTTGGTTTAGTTTGGAGTAGGGAAGGGTTAGGAGTTTTGTAGGGTTAGCTAGGAGTAATGTAGTACTCTGTCAGGATATTTATATATGTCTGTGTCTCAGGACAGAAATTGCTTGTCACAAGAGGAAGTCTCTACAAAATGAGAAGACGTCCCCTTATAGAGGGTTGTCATCAAAACAAGTGTCCCCATTGGAAACGTTTCTCCTTGCCTCCTGTTTCAATGACAACTGTAACATTTTGGATTTCCCATCACTTTCTGCCCTGTGACAATAATTACAAGAACAAAGAGGGGGAATCTCCCCAGCAGGAACATAAACATCTATAAAAACCCGATAGTGGTTCTAATCCTACTGTAGCCAAAAGTAACTATAGATGAACTTTAAAGTAAAACATTTTTTGGGTTTATCTTGCTAATAAAAAAAGGAGAGTTCAACACCCAAAATCCTTTTCTCTCTCCTGTAGTGGGGTTCCATCAAGTCTGATCACCTGTTGCCTTGCTGCCATCTTTACCTCGAATCAGTGCCCAGAGGTCAGTTCTGTTAGAGGCACTGATTGGCAGCCTTTAGCTGAGCACCCAATCAGCACCACTATCCCACAGAACTGTCATTTGGTCGTGCCTAAGGCCCTTTTCAGTAGTGATGGGCTCGGGCGTGTTCGCAGCTCCACGTGCCGAGCCCGCCAGGAAGCTGACAGCGCCGCAGCGCCAATCACAGGTACTGAGACATTTCCCGATCTCTGCAGCTGCTGACCGGGATAATGTCTCAGTACCTGTGTTTGGCGCTGCGCGCTGTCAGCTTCCTGGCGGGCTCGGCACGTGGAGCTGCGAACACACCCGAGCCCATCACTACTTTTCACACAGGCAGTGTCCATTCTGATCAGCAGGGGATGTGTGCACAGATCCGCTGATTGAAGTAGAACGGAATGGATGTCACTTTTGTCCTTTCAGCTTTTTTCTCCATTTTTGCGATGAAGCTAAGAACTGAATTAAATGGACACATTTTAGGTCTATGGGCAGTTGGATGTAAGTGGGCATGTGTCCAGTTACCTCCAATCAGTTTCATTTAGGTCCACAAAAACAGAGAAGGATGCAAACCTTCTCTATTTCTTTTTTTCTGAGTTAAATGGACACAAGAGTAATCAGATGTAAACGGATACGTCTATTTACATCTGACTGGCCATAGGGTCACATTGTTTTCCAATTAGATCCACCTGAAAAACTGTCCTCTGTTTGCCTGGAAGCGTCCGCAGACTTCAGCTCCAGCTTAAAGTAAGTGGTCAATAGGCAGCGGCTGGCTGGAGTCCAGGGGAACCTACTCCAGGAGAAAGGAAACCATTGGGGTACTGTTTTTTTTGTTTTGTTTTGTTTTTCATAGCAAGAGGGACAGGTGTACTTTGAATCAAAATTTTGCTTTAAGTCCACTTTAATTTTCAATACTGGCCTGTGTCTTTGTATGGATCACTCACTATCTGTGTTTATGACATACCTTAGTCATTTTAGTATGCATGCTTATAGTTTGCACCCTCCGAGGTATAATGTTTCTGAATAATATTCATACAGATTTTATTTACATTACTTCCCATTTCAGCACAACACAATGTCTTTTCGAGACTTTCAAACCATTGTTAAAGGAGAAGCTTCTGAAACCGATGATGAAGAAGAGATGTATGTGACATCTGTCCCAGTGAGTGCCTCATCTGGAGCTTGTGGTGTGAAAGTCCAAGGAGAGGCTTCAGAGACGGATGACGAGGAAGACATTGTTAAGGACAGAAATGAAATACATTCCAAGAGGCTGGAAAAGGAGCTCCCTCCTCTGGTAGTCATCAGAAACGAGGGAGAGACTTCTCCGGTGGCTTTGGAGGAAAAACCACTTGTGAATATACAGCAGCTGGGTCGCTACAGCACTTTATTACAGCAGAAACTTCTTGAAAGTAACGCACGGCTGTACCATGATGTCAATAACACCATACGACAGGTCTATCATACAACTACCAGTGAGATCCGGACTTTGACTAGTCAGCTTAACAACTCACAAAACGGGATCATCAATGCATCTCACAACATCCGGCTTGCCCTTGAAGACTTAAAAGGGGTGTCTGAGAAGATTGACATCATAACCAGCTGTAACCTACTACCTGATATCAAGATCTGACTGTACAGGAATGTTTCGTTAATGTAATGGATCAAAGAAAACGTGCATCTTTTAATATTTCCTAATGTGAACTTTATACATTGCCCAACCAAGGAAAAGAACAGGTCAACTTAGTAGCCCACCTCAATGCCCCTGCTTAAACCTGCCTTCTCACTTGCCCCTGGTGCTTCTTGCCCTCGGAGCATAGTGAAGTACCCAGTACCTCAGGGTATGGGGGAGCATGTTACTCTCTCCCCTTCCTCTCGTAATGCACTGTGAGCCAAAACTCTTGGCGCAGCAGTCATATAGGGGATGGGTCAAATATTGCCATGTGAGCTACAAACAGACCAGCTTAGAGCTTAAACTTTGGCTTTGGTGGGTCAAGGGGCAGCAGCTCATCGAACGAAACATAAAGATGGCCATACACTAGTAGATTTCCGAACAAAAGATCTTTCTTTACCACCAAATAATGCCATCAGACACTTGACGAATGAAATTTAATTTGATTCTATTGTTCGATTTTTGGGATGAATGGAGTTTCCTTAACGCAAACCACAGTCACTGTTAGAATTTCGTTAGTTTGAAAAAAAAATTCCATCCTGCTCCTTCAACTTTTCTCATCACTGCATTCGAAATCGAGCATCGATTTGATCCCATCAAGTAATAGAAAGTCGAAAGAAAGTTCTTTTCAAAAATCTAAGCAGTGTATGGCTGGCTTAAGTATAGGCAGAGGGTGATCGGGCTATTAAGTGAACCTGATACAGACGAAGTACAGGTTCTCTTAGACCAATGAAGCTAATACATGTAAACTGGGTCAGATGCTAGCTTCATTTATACATTGCCCCAGTTGCTTTGTACATGGCCTTTAATGTACCAAAAAAAAAAAAAGACAAAAGGGGCGCCTTTCCTAGTGCAGATTTGTTTATTCCAATAAACAGGCATCAAAAGTGTACTGACAGGTACTCACAAGATTGAAGTAAAAACGAGCTGCAGAACAATAAAATCGGAGCAGTAAAAGGATCCGTGTAGAGCGTCCTGTATGTGAATCACTGCGGTGTCGACGTGTTTCCGGGGCACGCCCCCTTCATCAGGACGTGATACCAGTCTCCTCCCTGCTATGGAGAAATCTGCACCAGGAAAGGCGCCCCTTTTGTGCTTTTTTTTTAGATGTTCCAGTTCCCTTGACTGTATTGGGGCTGCGTCCTGCACATATGCTCAGTACTCCTCTCTTGTGAGGGATAAGGATTGCCCTTGGGGCTTCTAAACAAAAAAAAAGGTTTAATGTACCAAGAGTTAACAGTTCATTTAAATAAAAAACTGGAAAAAATAAATTTTCAAGGTTATTGGTTACTCTCCAACAACAACAATACAATTCCAAGAGAAGAAAAGGAGAGAGGGAGTGAATAGAGCGCCACCCGCCACTTGCTTCCCAGAGAAGAAAAACAGAGGGAGGGAGTAAAGACAGCGCCATTGCCGCCAGGTGAGTAAGTCTGCGACTTTGTCTGGTTCATGTGCCCGGGCATAGGATTCTAAACCCGGACTAGGGCTATGGCATGCAAAGAGAGAGGGAGGGAGCTGTGCTAGGGAATTTACCTTTTTTGAAGTAGTCACATTTTCTAGTACATTCAGAGACATTGCAAGTGAATGAAAACTTGTTTAGTTATGAAAGACACTTTATTGTGAACCACATTATCAGCTTCCACTGTCTTCTATATTTTAAAGTGAACAAATATTAACACACATGGTGCTGATTAAGCAGAGCACATAGCTGAAACTAATCTCTTGATGCCCACTAATAAAACTCCACCTAGACTTTAAATACTGAATTATGTTTATTGCACCATTCCAAGGACACTAGCTCTAAGGTCCTTTCACATTTGTGACCTGTGAGTTTAGCTTATGTAGCAGTTTTTCTAGAGTGGAGTGTTGGGCAGTTTCCCAGGTAGCTTGTGTGGTAATTGTAGGCCGGGTCATACTCGCTTTCACTTTTTATTGTGTTTGTGTTAAAAATGTCAGTTGCTTAATGCTTGACTCTGGGCCATTATTAAAAAAAACATAAAAATCAATTCAGTTGTAATAATTAATACAACAATAAATTGTTTTTTTTAAATTGAGGCAGTGTAAGTATCTACATTTGACCCAGTATCAACATCTTACAGTCTTTGTACAGCAGGGCTGTAGTGTGAGAGGAAGAAGCAGCACAAGGAGCTGACAAGAAGCGTGCTGATAGGAAGGGAAAGCAGAGTGACGGAGAGGGTTTTGGGTTTAGGACAACCTGGGCTCATAGAAATGATGCTGGCCAAAAAGTACTGCTATGGATCTCTGGACTAAAGGTGAATATTGCAACAAAAGCTAGCTGGTTTTGTTATTTCACTTTTATTTTGTTAAAAATTGGGTTTAGGCTTTAAATATCATATGAAGAGATTGGGTGGACGTCTGTAAAACTGATCAAAGCGAATCACAGCAGTCTAAGTTTGATTCTCTTTATTTTGTTACTCCTGGCCATCACTGCTTTAAAGAAGAACTCCAGGAATGTTTTAATTAACCCTTGCAGTGGGGCTATCCCTGGCACTGCAAGGGTTAAGTGCTCATTTGTATCTAGGTGCTAAAATAACAAAGTTATACTCACCTGAAACTCTGAGTCAGCCAGTTGTCACTACGCTCCCTCCAGCCTGTCTTCCTCATCGTCCTCACGTCTATACACTGTGTATATAAGTGATGATTCATGAACCTTAGACCGCTCCAGAGGAGGGGGAGAGACGTTGGAAGAACTTGTCTAAGAAGAAGCCGGCTCAGAGCTTTGGGTGAGTATAGTTTTTTTTTTTAACCTAGACACAAACAAGCTGTTAACCCTTGAAGTGCGGGGGTAGCCCCACTGTAAGGGTTAATAACATTTCCTGGAGTTCTTCTTAAACTCCTGCGATGGAGGGTTTTTTTAATCAACCAGACAGATTCAATGTGTATTTAAACTGAGGAACTGAATACCCTGTCCTATGGGATCAACCTCCCTGCACTGCATCTTTTGAAGCTGTAGCGTTGTCAGCCTAGGACGGGATATGTGTTAGGACTACAGAGAACTTCCACTTCTCCTCCCCTTCATAACATGGGGTGAGAGGAGAGTGTTCTGTAAACGGCAGGGCTGATAACACTGCAGAGTCCACAGGAAATTACAAGCTGATTGGATTTCTAGATTGTGTTTGCACTTACCAATAAGATCTAACAAAATGCTTTCATTGTTACATTTAACAGCCCAAACAGGAGCAAGCAAGAGAAGTTCATTGTCAGGGTGAACATACACTTTCAGTTACATTGAGTGCTTTGTTTGCCTTCTTTGGACCAAAGCTGCCTGACTTTGTGAGCAGTGGGTGTAATTCTAAGAATACCCAAACTGTGCGTGAGAAATATCTTATGAAAATGACAACTTTGTGAGAAACAAAAAAAATAATAATTTACTTTTTATTTTCCAAAAAAGGCAAAAAAAACCCCCAACAAACTTTAAAATACTCGCCATGCCTGTCACCAAATAGCCTGGGGTGTCTTTCATTTTGGGCGTCTTAGTACTGTCCTGACACTTCAAAAATGTGGTAGGTAGTCAGGAAATCAGATGCACAATTTATGCCCCTTAAACGTTTGAAGGCACTGCTTGGACTCTGACTTTCCTGACATATTAGGTCCTCAAAAAATGTGATAAGGCCGTAGGAAAATCAGGTTTGATCAATTTCAACATTTTTATGATGCTAGATTATCGCTTTGATGTTTTATAACAGAAAGTAAGAAATTGTTTTGTTTTTTTTCCCCTTGATATAGTAAAAAAGAATAATTCCAGTGGTCATTAAATACAACCAAAAGAAAGTTCTATCCATTGAAGGTAGTAAATAGCCAGCTTAGAACCTATTTCACCGCTGTCACATGTAAATAATGAACTATTTGATGCTTTGCAAAATATTTACAGTCCATAATCAGTTTCACTGAAAGTTCCTTGATATATTTCCATTATGAAGGATGGAGGTTCATAAAAATGTATTTACTTTGGCAAGCCTTTGTTTGCTTTCTTTCTGTGCAGGGGAGGCAGTAGGAAGACTTGCAAGTACATGAATAAGGAGACTGACAATTTGTTTTAAGCTTCATTTTGTTATACCCCGCTTTAGAATGGTTTTCTTTCATTAAAAATAATGTATATCTAGCTGGGGTGAAAAAGGCACAGGTACGCAAAGTTTAACCTTTCACAAACAGGGGCGTCCGGAGGCTGGGTGACACCCGGAGCAGAGACTGGGTGACACCCCGCAGTGACATAATCGCGCATGACGCACAGGTCATCTAATCTTGCTGATAGACGGCAGCAAAGAGAGGAGGGGACGTTCACCCGGTAGGATGAGGTATGCCGCCGGGTCCCCTCCTCTCTCCTGAGACCGTCGGGCTCTTGGTCCATGATCTCTTTATATTGAGCAGAATGTAGTAGGACACTTGGAAGACCCTAAGATTGCAGGAACACTTAAGTCTCCTATGCAGATAGGTACAGAAATATAACCCACAGCAAGCAGATCTTGCAACTAGCATATCAAACACCACCTTTCACTGACATATTACTTTGGCGAACTGACACTGGGGGAGCTGAGGTTCTACAAGTTGAATATTTAAAACTATCAAAATGATAATTTCACTTTTTGAAATTTTTTATTTTCTTGTTTGAATTGCTTTATTTAACTTTGTAAAACTGCGCAAAACTATATGGGTTCATAAAAAAAACTTCAACGCAAATCTAAACCCAAATACAAAAAGGAATGTATTGCAGCGTACCAGTCTTTAGATGTGGTTGCTGCATAAGTGATCACTTTTCAGGCTAAAATCATTTTCAGCAAGTACAGAAAATATATATATTTTTTTTTTTCTTAAGCTGTTAATAACTTTTTACTACAATTTTTTTTTTGAAAGTATGTTATTGGTAAAACATACAGAATGCAAAAGCAAAGGAAAATAAAACGACAGACAAAAAGACTATTCAGTTGTACATGTCACATCTGCGTGGACAATATTTTGGTACAAAATACATCACATCACTGCATGGTAGTCCCATATCAAGAACACTAAAATATTATACTCATGTGTCTTCGCTACACTATAGCAACGTATCTCCCAGGATGACTGCTACCGTCAGTGCCCAGCCCGCTCTTTATTACAATTTTTAACAATATTATACATAACACGTTCCAATACAAGTCTTAAGACAACACAAGGGGTTAAAACAAATAATTGTGTATTATATATCTTACTACAAAATGATGACGCTCCAATCATATTCTCCATGCTCTTTACTATACACACAATGCTCTATTTTAATGGGTGGGAACGGCTCTCTTAGAGAAAACAAAAGACAAGACTAAACTACAGAGGAAAAAAAAAAGAAAATGTTAGAATGCTCTTCCTGTATTACATGGTGGAAGGAGGGGTGAAAACAATGACTATAACTCTTCCTTTCTATATGTCCTACTCAAAGAGCTGTTTATCGACTCAGCTAGTTTGTGGTTCAGGTTAGTAGGTACTTTGATATTTGTGACGAGTCTAAAAACTCTCTCCATGGACCCCACATTTCTTCATATGTCTTTTACTCCTTTCTTTTACCCTGGCTCCATATGCATAATATGATTCACCTGTACCATCAATTCTCTTACTGCGGGCAACTTTGCTGTTTTCCACAATCTAGAGATAGGTGCTCGAGAAGAAAGCGAAATATTCCCTGATTGAACATTTGTTGTGATGCTGGAACAATCGATAACAGGGCCACTTCAGGTGTCTCCGGTAGATTGCACCCTGTGACTTGCCTACATATCTCAAATATTCCCTGCCAGCATGCCTTTACTTTAGCACATTCCCACCATATAGGTAGCATAGTTCCTCTACTAGTCTCACAGCGCCAACACATCTTGAAAACAGCGGGGGCGAACTTTGCAATGCGGTCCGGACATCGATACCATCTAGTCAAAATCTTGTAGTTCCGTTCTTGTGTTCGAATTACTATGGTACCTTTTAAATGCCCAACTACAGAAAATAATTGTTACTCTTGACAGAAATGTCCATGTGTCCTTGTCAAAAGAAAGCTAAAGCAGAGACACCGGCACTCCAAACTTGCAAAATACGTCTATTTATTGACGTGCATTGTGGTAAAAAACCACGATGCACGTCAATAAATAGACGTATTTTGCAAATTTGGAGTGCCGGTGTCTCTGCTTTAGCTCACGATTGTTACGGCTGCCACCCGTTGACTACCGCAGCACCCAATTCTTGAAGGGATTCACGCGGTCAGGAGTTCGATGGGACCATGGACTATCTTGTCAAAAGAAAAGCACAAAGAACCTTATCTTTATTGTATAAACTACTAGTCCCGTCAATCTGCCATGTAATGGAGATGAACGAAGGCAGACATGTTTGACATGTCCAGCCTGTGTGATAAATACATTGGAGAAGAGACAGGAATGTTATTTGTATGTTATTCACAGGATTACCAGGTAAAAATAAAAAAAAAAGGCTGAAAAAAGAAAACTAATGTCAGTACATCTAAGGACTGGTAAGCTGCAATATATCACATTTTGATCGTAGGTTTTTATATCTCTTTTATATACAGTCATTCACTTTAATGTTTAAATAATAAAATAGTAAATAATTTTCTTTCGCTGGCCCTCCATGTCTGTGTTCCCATCCTGCTCATAATGAAACGGATTAATTTCACCTTGGTTTAACAAATGGAAGGCAAAGTAGCAATCAATGCAAGGCACTTAAATGGCACATCGCTATATTTGATTCAGAAATTATTAGTGCTTTCCCACGTAGAACATCATCAACCCTACTAAACACCTTTGGGATGGATTGGAGCACTCATTGCAGCCCAGGTCTTCTTGTCCAGCATTAGTGCCTGACCTCACAAATGTTTTTTTGGCAATATGGACACAAATTTTGCAGACACACACATAAATGTGGTGGAAGCCATCCTGGAACAGTGTAGGTTTGAATGGCGGCAAAGGGGGACAGCCAACTCCAAATAATGAGCATGTTTGAGAATGGAATGTCCAACAAGCTCATATAGGTGTGATTGTCAGCTTTCAACAAAAATTGGCAATATAGTTTATGTGCACATGGTTTAGGAAACATCTTCATTTGAAAAAGACAGTGACATTTTGCTTTTGTTTAAGATGTTGTCAATGGATCCAGCACCAAGTTTTTGTGCGTCTTGCTTTCCAAAAGCAGAGACTGTTGTGGGGGCAGCAGGGGGTGGTGGAAGTACTCCTAAGAAGTATACACTGAAGAGTGTCCAGTCTCCTAGACCCATACATAAAACATTTTTTATTTCATTATTATCACTATAGACCAAGGCTCTTCCATTCAGATTGTGATCTTTTATCGTTTGTCGATACAGCTGGAGGTTCTCCTCTCGGAATCCTAGTTTACTCATCTGCGAAAGAAGAAAGAGGGTATGGTAAATATTCATAAATATGAATTGAGGTGTAGAGAGGTGCAATGGAAATGTATAAAATGGCTATGAGTTTTTTTGAGACAATTGACAATCTAGTATGAAAGTAAAACACTTATTGCTTATTCCGGAAAGATCTTTCCTAATCTCACCAAACATCAGTGAAGCTGTTCAATAAGGCAATGTGTAGTAACCTGTAGAAATAGTTTTTTTTACAAATAAGCATGTAAGCATTTATTAGAATGCAATGATAGTAATAAAATACTTACTTCTTTACAGACTTCATCTACACTCATGTTCAGTAACGTTAACATGGTCAGTCTGTTGCTCTTCTTGGATTCCCACATGTTGTTACTGCCCCGTAAAAGTTCCATCTCTCTTTTGATGGACTGGTCTAAATTGACAGTGAATGGCAAAAAGAAGTTGGCATCTGCTACTGTGAAATTTTCATACAATAGTTTATGGAAAATCTCTGGGTCCCCATCCAGCTCCAAAAGTTTTTTGAGATTTGTTTTTATGGCATCTAACTCTTCCAAAGACTTCTCAAAAACATCCCAAAGGAATGTGCGAGCATATATAGAGTATTCTCCTGTTGTATCAGTTTCATCAAGGCACCTCCTCTGTTGTTCATCTTCAATGCACTGCAATATCCAGCTGAGACGACAGGGCCATTGTGCTGCCAGAATTACCCATTCTGTTACTTTGTGAGGCCTAATCTTAGTCCTTGGCACATCTCTTATCATCAGTCTGATTGTTATGGTGATTGTGTTTACTATCCTTCTGATGTGGACAACATTGTCAGTAATAAAGTCTTTCATGCTTTCATCAAAAAGGTATCTGAAGGCATCGTTTATTAAGGTTTTGGTCTTTGGTCCTTTATCTGTAAAGCTGATAGTTTGCCCCTGATCTTCAGAGCATCTGACGTTAAAGGGAGTATCCTGTAATCCAAAATCATTTTGATGGGTAACTCGTTGTCGTAGGAGTTGTTCTGTCTCATTTGGTACCAATGTTTCATCTGTTATATTTTCTTCTTCTTTTTCTCTTATCAGCTCATTTTTTCCATCTATGACATTTCTCATCACGAAACACTTAGTCTCGCAGTCCATTTTGGGAATGCAAAAAGGTAGAGTTATAATACGGTTCAGGAACTGATAACCATTGTTTGCCATGCCTTTTAAAAATAGTGAGCTTTCTACGCATTCCACAATGATGCTGGGGTCCACGGCTAGAATAGAAATAAATGGGGCACAGGGATCGGAGAGTAGAATATTCATGGCATTTAAAACACCTACTACTTTGTCTGGCATGCACCTGTCCAGGCTTGTGATCTCTAGAACTACTTTAATTTTCTGCCGTTGGAAGACTTCCATGAGTTGAAGATACCGGGTGATTACCTTAACCTCCCGCTTCACGTCACTCATGAAGCCCAGCTGGGAACTCATGTCTGTCCGGTTCATCTTATTTTGTACCACACCCCTTTGGGTGATAATTGCATTTTTCATGGTCATAATAACCACTCTTAAAATCCCTGCTGCAGAGATGCCAACGACAGTTGCGCCAACACCTTCAGCAGCAGCCAGCATATCTCCAGTTGGGTCACCAAATGGAAAGCCATATATTAGAAACAAAGCACCAACACCAATTCCAATCAAGATGACTAAAATTGTAGCAATCCAGAGTGGGATACATAGGAACTTCTTACTAACCCATTCTTGTTTAAGTGGTGCATCAATAATTTTGGTTTTTCTGCCTACAGCTCGATAGACGCTCATAGGAGCCAGTCCAAAGTAGTTCTCAATTCCGTCACAGAGGGTGGTAACAAGACCAGCCCAGAGATGGTCACTACCTGCATATTCCCATGCACTGAAACGGATGAAGATGAATCGAATATTCTCTCGTTCTTTGTGCTTTTCTGTGATGACAGGATGGTGAAATATCATAAGAAAGATAAGCTTGAGGAGGTCTTTTCCTGTGCATTTTCTTGTTCTCTGCTTGGTTCTTGCAATTTCATTTTGTTCTTTTTCCCATGATTCCATACATAGATATGCTGTAAACCAAATCACAAGAATGAAATAAAAGTAAATAAAGCTGTATATGAAGTCACTGCAAAGACATTATTAGGAGCTAGGCTTCTTCAGCCTTTGAACCAGCTATAAATCAACAATTCATGTGTGACATTTCTGTTTTACTCAAAACCAGTAAATACTAAACATATTGATATTGACTTTATCTAGTCTTAACATAAAGGAAAGTGTTAAATTTGACTCACATATTTGGAAATACAAATATAATGAAGTCCTGCCCCTGTCACCACCAGTCTCCGTACTTCCTCTTATTTCCAGTAAATCATTACTCCCCTCCACCATCCATTCACATCTCGCAGTCACAGATTCTAATGTTGCGCTTAGCCCTCTTTTTACATTTGTCTTGTACTAAAGTTTACCTCAGACTCTCCATAAATCCTATTTTATTTGATTGCTTGATGCAAAACATGGCCTGGGGACCCTCCTAGGAGTTTTTAACAAGTGTTTACAACATTGCAAGCATGTTATCTGGTAACAAGATTCTCTAAATCGAAAGAAGAAAGTACTAATCAGACTTGCCTGTTTAGTGAGGCAAATTGCACATGAAAATGTGGTGGGAGACATTTATCCATGGCGAGCCTTGCATGCAAAGATTGGCTATCTTAGCATTTAACTGATTTGGGCTTAAATCACAACCTTTGCTTTGCCCATTCAGCACAAACCATCAGGCTTGTTTTAATCTCCTGTCTCCAATAGTATATACTTCAAGTGATACTAAACTCAGGAGTTAAACCTTAAAAATCCATTCACATACCTTAACAGAAATTTACTTTATTGGTGTATCACTCGGCTGCAGATCCTCAAATCATCTCTGAATTGGTGCTGACACTGTCCTTCCTTCTGGACGGTGTCTACTTTTGTTCCCCATGGTCCCTGTGTGTTGTAGAGTAGTCACCTCTCAAAGCTCATTCCCGTGATAGATAATCTTATGTTTAGTTTACTAACTTGTATTAGAATGGTAATCTATCACGGAAGCGAGCTTGGAGCGGTGACTACTTTACAACACACACAAGGACCACAGGGAAAAACTTCCACTTCGCTGGAAAAAGTACATGAGCTACTTTTCTGCAGATTTATGCACTTTTGGCCCCATAGACTTCAATAGAAATTCCTATAAATGCGTGGTGCAAGTGGTTTTGCAAATGTTTTGCTCGTTTTGTCGCACAAGCACAATCTATCAGCTGAAAACACATGTAACAATTCTTTTGAGAACATCTCGAACGCTTGACAAACAGATGTAGATACATGTAAAAACACAAGGCTTATAATGTTGAAGCTAAAAGATTGGCGTTACAGCCAGGCACCTAGCATTTTTATAAGCAGGATAGCAGTGGCCGTCTTAGAATACGTACTTAAAGCAGAACTCGAGGTAAAAAAAATAATCTTAACCCATCCCTGCACTGCAAGTATATGTTTGTGTCTAGGTTAAGAAAAAAAAATAATACTCACCCGAACCATGGATCCGAGAAACCGGGAAAAAAGCTGATCAAGCACAATCTGTGTTTGATCAGCTTCATTAAAGTGCAAAGGTGACATTAGGGGTTTAATAGACCGCTAATGTCACCTTAAAGTGAACCTGTCACCTCCGATGTACTATCACAAAGGGAACTTGTGAGCCCCCCTCTGTGATAGCAATGGAGTTAAACAAAAGTTGAAAAAAATAAAGTTAAATAATATAAATGTAAAAACCCTAAAACATTTTTTTAAAGTCCCTTATCCCTGCAAAACACAAGCATACTAATGCAAACACACGTCAGGTGCACCTACGTACAAAAATGGAGATTGCACTCCACGGTAACTATCATCGCGTGCGTCAAAGTGAGACCAATAATTCGGGGGCCAATATTCACAGTTAACTCTAAACTGATGATCTGTACAGGCTTTTAAAGGGTCTCCTATGGACAATTTGGGGTACTGTATTTTGTTACTATTTCACGGGCAGACGCAATTTATAAGCTTGACATGTTGGCTATTTATTTATTCAGCACAACCTCGTCTTTTATATTGTACAAAAAAAAAAATGCGTATTACATTGTGTTTTGGGCACTAAAATTAACTTAAAGTGACATTAAACCCTCAGATTTTTTAACATAAACCAATACTGTAATGTGTGCCTTACTGTAACCCATGGTTGTTTCCCTTCTCTTTGCTGCTCTTCCTTTTAAATCCTTATCTCTTCTCATGCTTGGGGAGAACTTCCCTTTGCAGCTGAGTGCCTCTTCCTGTAGTGTTGGCTCACATTGTGAACCTGCACACAGACACCATGTATCCATTCCAGAGATAAGGCAGTCTGCTGCAAAACAGAAGTTCTGCCCAGCATGAGAAGACATACGGATTTAAAAGGAAGAGCAGCAAAGAGAAGGGAAACAACCATGGATTACAGTAAGGCACACATTACAGTATTGTTTTATGTTAAAAAATCTGAGGGTTTAATGTCACTTTAAGGGTATTTTATATTAAAAGTTTGGGTTTGATAAAGAGGTACACTAATATCGTGTGACATAAAAATTTGCAACTGCCACCATTTTATTCTGCAGGGTCTCTGCTTTCAGGAAATATATAACTCTGAGGATGTTTAAATGTTTTACTTTTCAAGCCTAAAATGGGGTTTATAAGATGCGTGCAAAAATGGCTCTTTCAGCGAAAGGGTTAAAGCATATCTCTGTCCAGGTCCCCTGTACCCGTAAATGGCGTTGGCGAGGGACCTGGGCGGGGGACTTAGGTGAGTACCAGATAAGAACAAAAAACCTTGCAGGATGGGTTAATTGGGGGTGGGAGGGAGAGCGTTCATATTTTGCCTGGAGTGGAGCTTCAAGTTGGCTTAACCCTGTCCACTCTAAGGCCCATATCAGCCCCGTAGGCTACTATGACTATAGGTACATCACTGTTTACAGTGTTTTTTGGATATTGTTTCATGTACTGTGATTTTACTTTTTGCTTGAAGATGCAAACTTCTAATTCACACACCTACATTTTATTCATGCCCATTGAAACAAATTACGTGTAGTCCCCGATTTTAAAACAACTGAGAGGTGTACTTGAGACCTTTCTGAAAGAAGAAACATTGAAAACAATATTTACAGATACATCCCTAGTTTGTTCTGATACTCACTTTCAACCTTGTTAAGTAGAAGGTCCTTACGTCTACCCCATGGAGCATAAAATCCCAATGTCACAGGAGAAACAACATAGTATAGTGCCTTGGCCAGAGAATAGCAGTAGACGTCATCCTTCGTCTGGAAATCTTCAAGAAAACCATAAAAACGTATAAGCAGTAGAAGAGTGGTTGGCAGTGAGATAGAAAGACACAGATAGCAATAAAAACATGCCCCCATTGTCCCTGTTGCATAGTTTTTCCATCACTTCCAAGAGTAAGCCTAAGCTCAGGCCATGGGTGCCTGCACAGTTCATAGAGTGCCTAAAAATGTTTTCTGATCAACAGTGGTAGGCTTAAGTTTTGATAATTAGTTCATAGTTCTCAATGGCTACAGCCATCAGAGGGCACCCTTATGTGAATGTACAATCTGACTGCACTTACAGCACTCTTTATATTGGCTGGACAACTGCAGTTCAATGGGGAGAGAGTTGGGAATGGCAGGACACAGTACAAGATAGGCTGCAGATACTGATGTATAAGTGGAGGAATTTTATCAATTTACTAACCTACACAGTTACAAGTTTCCTACGATAGGCTCAGGTGCTACCCACACACATGAGACTACAATCCAATCAAGTAACAAATAACTGGACCAAACAATAAAAAAAAAAAGTCTATTGGTACCTATAAAGCTGGCTTCACACAGTAAGGTTTTTTAGTCTGCTAGATTAGAAAATGTCACAATAACGATGTACTGTAGTATGATGCTGTAGTTTAATAATCTACTTACTTTATATCCAATCAGTTGTGCCATTATAATACACAGTTGTTGACTTTTATTGAGATGAGAGATCAAATCTATTGCAAATCTGTTTGTGACCAGCATATCTAAATCAGTGACTAAATGCATCTTTCTTTGATCCTTTGTCTCTAAACTGATAAAAGCTGATTAGTTGTTATAGATTAGCAATTAGAATTTTAGAGTGGATGTTTTGTGCAAATTTAGTAATCCCTTGAATGACAGCAGTATTGGGTACAAAAAGCATTGGAATGCTTACCATTCCCCCATTAAATGCTTGTAAGTCTTCCCTCTTTGTTGTTAATCAATGCTGAGACATTAGTCACATGGTCTTTGTCAAAGTAGAGGACTAGCAGAGCTACTGACTTGCCAGCACAGAAGTACTAGTAAGTGTTAAAATATGAGAGCAATTCCCCATAGTCCTGCAGATTTGCATATTAGTTAATTGAGATTTGTATTACTGAGGTGTGGCCAGGGTGTGTCCATTGCCTATCTATGTGGGCTACATTGTCCCCCTTTACCATGTTAGACTGTTGGAATTTATGGGTCCCCATACTAGCCAAATTAGAAACCAATCCAACTAAAATAATCAGGATGTGTTTAAATGGTATAGCGCTAACCGTCCTTCGTTGATAGATATGAGAAATCAAAACGTTAAGATCAAAGGTTTGAAGCATACAATTGAAAAAGTATATAAATTGTAAAGGATGTATCTCAAAAAATCAGTAACATCTATATAAATACAGTGTGAAAAAACAGTGTGTAAAGAATATTAGTCCAATGTGAAATATCAAACAAAAATGTTCAGTGATTTGTAAAAAATGTACAAAATATGTATATGAAAAATAAATTATTATTAAACTTGTGGTAAAATTATGAAAATATGTGTCATGTGTGAATAAATAATTATAAAAGGTTTCCCAATAATAAATACACACTCAATGTGCAACTAATTAGTAATTAATAAACATATATATATGTGTATATGTGAGTACCTGGGATTTATTACGCTATGAGCGTATGTTTTATTTCTCTTGCTTGATTGGATATCTTACCGGGGGGACTTCTAAAAGTGAAGATCCCTCGTTTAACATCCTGGAGAAACGGGAGTCCCTTCCCTCTCTAGAGTTCCACCGAGCGGGAGAAGCAAAGACACAGCTCCGGCTTACCTTGATGAAACAAACGGTTGTTTAACATCATCTGATCCGGTGAGTGCATTCCCTTGAGGGGATTTTTTCCTCGTTTTTTTCTCGTTCCTTTCTGGATTTTCGTTGGACACATCACTTAATTGGAAAACGCACTGGATTTTCACTGTGGAAGTTGGCTTTATTTTTATATTTATGGAGTTTTAAAGACTTTAAAAGACTTAGTCATTTTTTGGACTACTCACATGGACTAATATTCTTTACACACTGTTTTTTCACACTGTATTTATATAGATGTTACTGATTTTTTGAGATACATCCTTTACAGTTTATATACTTTTTCAATTGTATGCTTCAAACCTTTGATCTTAACGTTTTGATTTCTCATATCCATCAACGAAGGACGGTTAGCGCTGTACCATTTAAACACATCCTATACTAGTGGCCGAGTGCCTTAGTCCAGCAGCTTCCCGTACTCTTCTAGAATAATCTTTTAAAATCTTAAGAATTTTTTGTGTATATATATATATATTTTTTGGTTCTGGGTTTAGATTTATCCATTTAATATTTTATTCTCCATTAGCGCAAGTTCTTGCAAATATTTCATCTAAAATAATCACATCAGGTTTTATGACAATACTAATTAAGGTCATATATGGACTGTACTTTAAAAATGTGCAAGCTGTTAGCATGTCAGCATAAAATTTACTTAAAATTGTGGTATTGTAAAATATAGAATGAGACAACAGTAAAAGATATTACTTTCCTTTTACCATTTCAAAGGTTCATACAATACTAACAATTAAAATGGAATTGGAATATACAGACTGACCTCATCTGATCCCACTGAATGTCTAGTTTGGAATTTGGGGGATCGCTTAATGTGAGCTTTCCAGTATATGTGCATATTGGGATCAAGGCTGCTTAAAATATAATATTAGTCCCTTTGTAAGAAATGCCAAATATGAGAGCAATGTTTGTTTGCTGTAATCCTTTGCCTTTATGACAGATGAAGCGGAGATAAAGTGAAGAATATTATAGATAACATTCCTCCATTACATGACATGGAACTGCACACCTGGGCTGGGTTGGATAAGTAAGATAAGGTGCATGCAAGCAAGGTGATGAACGACAGAGTATAGACAGAAAGGTAACTATATTCCAATAAAAGTTACTTACTAGGACACACCATGTCATCATCTAATAATGTACAGCTTCACGAGAGATCCTTATACCTGTGAAAATCAGAAAACCTTTCTGTTAGTGTGACCTCACAATCATATCATGACCAAATTTTCTGGCAAGAAACAAAGAACTCTTCTATCGCCTCCTCCCTGTAACATTCTCGCAATCCCATTCTTTGGCAGAAAACCAGTAGAGTATTATTAATCACACATGATACCATATGTACATACACTGGTGCATGGGTGTATAAAAAAAAAAAGCTTAGTGATAACATATGAAAGTCTCAAGAACTGCCATTGTACACAAGGCATTTTAATTCTATTGTAAAAATGCAAATAACAAAAAAAAGGAAATCAAAAGATTTGAGATACGTTAGTGCATTTTAATATGTTTAATGACTTTGTTTTACGTGTTTTTACAGATAGAAATGAATAAACCCATGGTTGTCGTCAAACATTAACTCTGTTTATGCCTATATACCCTTGTCTCATCCATCATGTCCCTGAAAAGCGTTGAATGATCCTTTGTTGGTCAGACCAATAAACATGACATTATTGCTCAATCCAGCAAACTGTCATCTCAAATCTATGGTTATACCAGGAGATGGAATGAGCCATGTAAACCCTAATTATTTGATGAAACTGTACTCTGACATAGATGAAGTCAGAGTAGAGTGAGATACTGTAGAGTGTGATATAATTAGTTTTTTTAATTGACCTATTAATAAAATTTGCACTTAAATTAGAATTAAATTGTAATTACAATCAAATTAGAAGTAAACTCTTGGAATGAATCCTTACAGGGCTATTCATAAAAGGGTGAAGCGTTTGGAGAAGGCAGGAGAAGTGAACAATCTAGGACCTTGGTTCTCAACTGGTGGGTCGTGACCCAAAAGTGGGTCGCGACCTCGTTTTCAGTGGGTCACCGCGTGCCTTCCCCTTTTCTATGTGAGAGACTGCACAGCCTCCCCCTAGCGTAGCAATATCAGTTCTTGTGCTGAGCAGCCATTCAGAATATGCTGCCTGGCGCCAAGTGTCAGCTTGAGGTGGGGTGGGCTGGAGCTATGGCCACAAGGGAGCTCCATCCATACATGAATTGCTTCCAGCTCCCTCACGTGACCTGTGGAGGTGCCATGACTGGAGTGAAGTCACATTCTGGCTCCCGCCACCTCTAAAGGGCGCACAAGGGAGTTGTACAAGCAATGCATGCATAGATGGAGCTCCATCACAGCACAGCAGCCCACACTGGACCCCAAGCTGAGGATCGCCTGCACCGGAATGCACGATACTGCAATGCCGTTCGTTCCATTGCAGTGCGACTTGGGTTACCACTTAATGTCTAAGGACAAATGTGAGGTTACACAGGTTGAGAACCACTGAACTAGGACAACATAGCTGATTTGGAAACATTCTCCAATTCAGCTCACTTTCCAGTTCAGCTATGTTGTCCTACATCCTTCACTTGTTCTGCATTCTCCAAACGCTTCACCCTTTTGTCTGTGAAGGTTATCATTCATCCAGTTCATGGTATATCTGTACAAAATAAGTCAAAAAGCTCACACCTTAAGGGCCTGTTCACACGACGTCCATTTTGTGTGCTGACCAGCTCCGTACGCTGCTGCACTCAAAATGCATCCCAATGTATCCCTATGTGTTTTATGGGCTACAGTTCTCACGTGCGCAGTCCGTTCAGCTTACGACAGAAAAAATACTGCATGTCACATTTTGTCCGGTCCGGAAACGCACGAACGCGCACGAAACGCAACGAAAACGTAACGGAAACGCAATGCAGCTAAGGGGGGAAAAAAAGAAAAAATTGTATTCTTGCTCCACTTATTATGATGTCATCAACGTTGACAAAAAATTAACTGTCAGCATCCAGACCGAAAACGCATCAAAAACGCATCAAAAACGCATCAAAAACGCACTGCATCAGCAGCTCCACGTCTGCTGATCAGCACCTGTTCAGGACCTGATCTCATGTGAACAGGCCCTGACTGTCTCAAAGTCCAGTTGCCTTGACTTATTTTTTACAGATATGCTTCACCCTTTTGTGAATGACCCTGTTAGTTTTGTAGATCACTGTAAGTAAAAGATAATCACAATATTATTGGTAAAAATATTTTTTTCCCTTATTTTGTTCATTCATTCTCTCTCTATGCTGTCTACATGTTGTAGTATCAATCTGCAATAATGTGTGCACTACAGTTGTGCCAGAAGGCCACAGTTTTACAAAAAAGGGTGGCAAGTTGGCAACACAGCAGGTGACCTGACTTTGTAAGGAAATGCCTGTGGATACAACTTACTAGTAGCATTCACAGTTATAATTTAATTATGAAATATAAATAAGTATTCAAAGTGGAAGCAAAAAAAAAATGCAGAGATTTTTGGCAGTGGAGGCTTAGTACACTGTATCTCTTTTTTCTTGCCTTATCAGCTTAGGTTCTAAAGCCCATCTCTGGGCAAACAAAAAATATCCTTGCAGTGGGGCTACCCCGACACTACAAAGCTTAAGTGCTTTTTTTTTGTCTAGGGGACCAAAGTATAGCAGATTTGCTTACATGAGCCCTGCTCCCCTGTCGGTCAACACTCTCCTCTTCTCCCCTCCGGCTGGTAGAATGTCCCTTGGCATCCTCATATCTAATGCAGGTCTATGGAATTAGATATGAGATGTGATGACGTTAGCAGTCTTAGCACAGAAAGAAAAGGCTCTGGGCACCAGTCTAGCAGCCCTGAGGGAGCAGGCGGAAGTTGGGATCAGGCAAGTAAATCTGCGTGACTCCAGTCCTATAGACATGAATGAGCACTTAACCCTTGCAGTATGGGGGTAGACCCACTACAAGGGGAATGTTTTTGTTTGCCCGGAGATGGGCTTTACCTTTTTGACATTGCAGGAACATGTGCAACAACATATTTGGTTCAAGTGTTTGGATTTAGATACACTTTAGCCTGAATCAATAGTGCACATCATTAAAAGTTTGTATAAAAATTAACCCTTTTCTTTTCAGGAATAAAAAAAAACCTCTAAGCTCTCTCATGTGACCTGAAGCCTAAGAATAGATTTCTAAGTATTTGTTAAACAGCAGCATAGTCAGTGTTTATTTGGTAAGAGATTAGAGATTCTATTGTTTTCAGTTGGACAGCCATGTCTGGTAGACTTGCAGTTTGTCAGGCAGCCCAATGCAGTATTCAGGTCACAGCTGCCTATAACTTTCTATAGCTGAGAGTGTAAAATAATACCCAAGCAGCACTGGTGTTGAATGTGCTTTTTGCAAGTCATACTGTGGAAGTCTGAGATGCCTATCGCTAACTCTTTCCAAATGCTGTATCAAACAAGCAAATATGGTAAGACGAAACTAAAGGATTCAAAAAGCCCTTGAACCGTATCAGTGCATAGCTCAGTAGAGTCTACTTAGAACAGAAAGAATTCCAATACATATCCCAAAAATAAAAGGATTATTACTTATTACAGGACAGTAAGCAGGGTGATTCCTTTATGCCCCAATGAGCCATCTGACATTCCAAGCACTGGTGTACAGTACAGATATAGTCTTATAGAGCCATTTATTCTAAACTGCATACAGCTGTTTTAGGCTTTTTGGCCATCATCAGTGCAGTGTATGGAAACCATGGCTTCTATAGAGTAGGGCTTGGGGGCCAACGAGCAAGTATATGGCGGAAAAAGACTAAGAAACTGCAAAAGAGCAGTGATGGGCTTATGATCAGTTATAACCATGACTAAACAGAGCTGAAGAAGATTTGTCAGAACGGTCTACTTAGATGCCCAAAATAAGTTTTTATAAACATAAATATTTATTTAAATTACATTTTACAGAAGGATTACATGACAAAAAGATGCTGAAAATCT